CCGAGGACAAGCCCTTATAAACATTTTTTTAATTGCAACTGCATACAGAAACTTGAAATCTAACAGTCCTGAATCAGACCTACAGTGTTCACAACTCAGATGGAATTTTCTGCTGCAGCAATTCAAATGTGAACTTGACGAAAAAAATAAGAACAACCTCCTCTTGTCTTCGGGTCAAAATGACCCGAAGACAAGAGGAGGGTTAAGTAATCTGCATAACACCAACACTCCTGCCTCAGGCTGGGGAGTAATGATTGAGATGTTTGAAGGGGGGCTAAAACAAATACAAAAGGATGTAAGCTGATGCAACGCTAAGGTTTCCTTGCACAACGGGGACCATCAAACATCAGGATGGATAAAACAGTGCATCGTGATAGGATCATATTCACTCTTGTTCGGGTCTGTTTTCAGTTTGAGATGTGATTTACAGGAACGGAGAGCAGCCAACGGCGTTCCGCTCGCAGAGCAATCATGGCAGGAACATCATCTCCGTACGTCTTGTGGTGTCAGTGCTTTTGACACGTAATCTCTCAGACAATGTTTTCTGTCTGAGGCAAGTGCATGTTGTTATTTATAACATTTCAACCAATCTGTGGGCTGAAATATTGATTTTCCACATCACAAATATCTGACAGCGAGTTCAGGAACAACACGTTTCCAATTCACTCATACCTGGCCGTGTTTATTTTAATATTTCAGGTGTAAAGGATGTCTATTGGCTGGGATGATGGGTAAGATTATTGTATTAAACTGAGCTTGGATTTAAAGATAAGGTATTTTAGCTTGGAGGATTTTGACTTCTCAAAAGAGAAATGCAGTCCAAAAGATTTCAAGAACGCCCTGTGGAAACTGGAGTGGAGGTCAGATGGTGAACTGCTAGAGGTTACCGAAGTAGTGCCAGGAAAGTCTTTACCTGCGGGCAACCAAAAGGTGAAACGGTGAAGAAACTCGTCTCAAACTTTAACTGGGTTGCGGGGCAGGCAGAAATCCTGGACAGCAGCGTGTGGTGCAGTGTGCGCCATTCACTGCGGTCCTGCCTGTTATTTTTAGTTTATTTTCAGTGAGAAAACAAACTCAAGAGTCGAAGTTCTGCATTCAGCTCTGTCCTGGCAACAGTTATCTTTACCATTTGCCAGAGGGATGGGATAAGGCGGCCAAATGTTGATGTGGAATATAGACACAGCAGATGGTACAAAGTAAACTAATGGAAAGCAATTAAAATCACTGTTTTTACATACCACTCTATAGTGGTATAGCAGCAGAAGAAGAAATTTTTAAGCTTTTACTACATCCTGTCTGGCTCGTTGGTCAGATGGACGCTGCACCTTCAACAAATTCCTGCAACAAGTTGCTGCAACTCTTTTTTCCTCCTCTCTAACCATCCTTCTCTTCATGTCAAAATAAACTTTGACCTTCGTCCTTTGTTTGCCACAGTTATATTTTTGTGAAACTTTGGCAAGTTCAGACAAGTAGCTATTCTCATGTAAGCGATTTCCTGTAGATCAACAGAGACGTGTGAAGACCAAACGTTCACAAACTGTTTCCTGATGCATCTGCTGATTCTTTTTTTCTCCCCCGTTATGTCAGAGGAGGAAGCTGTTTGTTTTGTGCACCAAGTCCAGAGAGAAAGAAGGCTTGCAGGAAGGAAGTTTGACTGACGGAAACGCTTAAATAAGGGAAGAAAAAATTGAAGTACGAATGAAATGAAACAAGGAAATGAATAAACGGTCGATGAAAGGAAGAGACGGATGCTTTTAAGGACAGAGTGAAGAAAAGAAAACAAGTAAATGACAGAAGGAATGAAGAGCTGTGGTTCATGGAGGAAGGAATGAAGGACCAAAGATAGAAAGAAAGGAACATGCAAAGGTGGAAGAAAGCAAGTAAATGCATTTGACTAAAGTAAAGAGAATAAGGAGCCTCATTTGTGATGAGACTGAATGATTTGTGTGCATCAGTGGAGTTTAATGTACCTTATTATGCCTTTGAGAACACAGTCTAACCGGGGGTGGGTGGGTTGAAAGGCAAAGCAATTTAGAAATAATAATAATAATAATAAAAAGAAAGCATTGAATTTCACTTGTCAAATGTTCCTGTGATGATTCACTGTGGGTTCCATCAGTAACAGAAAAAACAGAGCCATGGAAATCTGTTCAAATGTGGTGAGACTAAATTTTCCCCCATTTCACCAGAGAACTGCGGATAATGTGTTGGACCCCGACCAGCAGGGGGTAAAATGGCTCCATCGGACTTTTTTCTTTTGAGGCAGAGTGAGGTGGAGGGAAACAAGCGAAACACCGGTGCATAACACTGACATTTTTTAATAGAATTCATTTATAACAAATGGAACTCGTGTCAGCAAAGAACTGGTTTTCTTACAGATTTCTTTCTCCACCAATGTAACCTAAGTAAGAAAATAAAAAGCACTCCTTTCATTCAGAATAAAAGAAACAGTTTACGCTTACAACTAATCAGAGGTAATCGTATAATCTTTTTAACAAGCCATGTTTTTTTTTCTTTTTACAATTTCATTATTTAGTTATCAGTCTATGCATCCAGACGAGAGATAGATAGAGAGAGAGAGCAGAGAACACAACGTTTATTTCTGTTAATGACACTCCAAGCTCGAATGGCAAAGCCACAAGAACAGATGGTTGGGGGGAACAGATTCCTCTGAAGTCATCTGCTGGAGTAAACCATGGTGGCATCGGAGCGAATGCTCTTTTTCGCCACAAACTCTTTTTATTTTTTTGTCTTTTTAGCAGGTCGATACCTTTTCTGTGTTATTTACATACACACAAAGTGGATGTCTGAGGAGGTTTCTTTTTTTTTAAGAGATGGGTTCAAGTAATACATTATTGGGTTCAGAATCAATAGGGCAGTGCATAGTACAAAGATAAGAGAAAGTGCAAGTCCTTCCCACTTGGCCGGGTTTTGGCCACTCTGCAAGTTCTTTACCGTGCATAATGAAAAACTAACTGATAAGGAAAATCAGATGAGGGAAGAAAACAAAAATGAACATGTTCCGAGACTATTGCGACAAAACAATCAGGAAAAGGAGTGAAACAAAAACTCACAGCCACTTCAGGTAATAAGGGAAAGAAAGCACCTGGAATGCACATCCACAAAGCCATCAAGTGGGGTTTTTCCACCAAACCAGTGGCCACTGGTTCCCACCTGGCAAAGAACCACACTGTAGTCAGCTCTACCCACCACCCAAGTATAAATCTCTGTAGTTAAATTAAAAAAATACAGAACAGACTTGAGTGATCGATTTCCAGCTTTTATTGTGCAAACCTAAATGTTGACCAGAAGTTATTTGGCTACTATTCTCTCACATGTCTGATCCTCTCGATGTCTGTCAGTGGTCAGAGTGGGGAGGTGCAACGCTAACTACATTATCGGTCTGCAAACAGATGCCTTAATATCACCAGCTTAATTTGTAAGTGACGTTTTAAACATGCAATGTTTCTAAACTCTATTTTTGGACTCTCCAAATTGCATACATGACCTTTGATTATTTATAGAAACAGATTTGATGGTTCCAGATCAATTTGCTCCTGCTGTTGTGCAGAGAGTCGCCATTGTGTCCCAACTAACTTGCTTTTGATACTAAACCTGCACAATATGTTGAAAACCAATCATCACATCACAATGTCAAAGAGCTCCCTGAATCCAATTTTTGTAAGATTATAAGTGTTGGGAAATGATGCTTCTCACACTAATAAGTTGAACCAGTTAGAATAGATCAACCTGATGTACATTTTTATTAGCTGAGATGCTAAAGCTTGTGGAGAGGGGAGAAGATATTGTGTCATGATAAAGCAAAATATTGCATTTTTTTTTCACTACCAAAGGAATATATATTCTCTTATATTCAACCCAATTTTGTACCCATGTAAGCCATGTAAATCATGTTTGAGATAAATAGTAATTCAAAATTTTAGGTATCATTTTATTTGGTTGAGCAACACTTGAAAATGTTTAATTGTAAGCCGTTTCCAATTGTTTTTGCTTCCAATCCCAAATTTTTTCTTGTCATTCTCTTCATTCTTCAAATCCACATTTTCATGGAGATATCTATGACTGGATGAAAGCGAATTGCATTCAATTATTTGTGGTCAAAGTGGGTACTAATTGGTCAGTATGAAATGATCAGTGTCAAATTGCTCCTTTTCTGCCCCCAGTTTGGGGATGAAAAGACCAAAAGAGGGAAAGTGGGCAAGATGAACACTAAAAACAAAAATCAGCATTTCTAATCTCAATCACAAACTGCGTTTATCAATTCAGAGAAGAATTGATAAACGCTCTACTTCACCCTACAACCACAAAGTGACAGACAGAAGGTAAGAGACTCACTATAATTTTAGTAACAGTGGAGTTCAATGTTTTGTTAGATTATGTCTTAATCAGGCAGATTCTATTAGCTCTTCCCAAAGACAAATAAGATGACATAAGTGTGTCTTCCTTCTTGATCAGAAGAGTCGGGCTCCTGATCCTAACGTTACCAGAGTGAGAGTCGGTTCTTTCAGGTTGTGACAGTTTGGTGGTAAAACCCCGCTCTCAGGGAGCTTTAGAGTAAGACGTAATGCTGCTCAAGGTGATGTAAAAACCTTCTATTTAACTTGGAGACAAAGAAGATAGCACACTGTTAAAGATAGTCAGTATAACAGAAGGGACAGTTTGTCTGAAGTGTTGCATTAAGACAAAAGCCATGAAGAAGAAACCCGTCATTGATGGCCTGTGTTTGTGCATCCATTTGTTTTTCTGTTATTTATTTATTTGTGTGTGTAAACAAAATCCACTTGAGAATGTTAGTTGTTGAGAATGTTGGGCATTAATCTTTTTCAAATTTGATGTTTAGTTTTACATTATCATCGCACCTCCAACTGTGTACTTTTTTTTGTATTTTGGGCTGCTTTAAATTTTCTGTAGTGGTTAGGGTTTGTTATATATATATATATATATATATATATATATATATATATATATATATATATATATATTTTTTTTTTTTTTCAACACATATTTCATTCACAAAAACTAAAAGGTAAATAAACTTTACATTTTAATTTCCACTAAATGCCGAGAATACTCAAAGGATACATGAATGGTAAATAAAACATTACAAAAACAGGCATAAATATAAGGCACTCTAGATGCAAAAATAAAAATAAACTATATATATATTAACTGAATAAGTAGACGTCTTTGTACTTTGCCCTATTGCGTGGAGACTGAGTGTGATTTCCTCTCATTTCTGACTGTCTAAGCTATTTGTTGAAAGCAAAGGCGCACCAGCACCGATTTGACTGCCACCTGTTGGTCGGGAGGGGGAGGGCATAATAAAGTAGTGAGTTAATGACGTATTAAAAGGGAAAAAAAATTAAATAAAATCTAAATCTAAAACACATTTATTGCACAAGAAAAGATGCACTGAATCAAAATACAGTTGTGTTTTTACTGATGTGCATTCCAGTGAAAAATCTCTGTCTCCCCATGGCACATAACTCCCCGCTTAAAGGCTTTCAAACACAATCCGTACTTTATATACTTTTAAACTATATACTTTATATATTGTTATATCTATACTTTGATATACATATTTCACATATTTGACAGTATATAGTTATATATTCATACCAAATTCATCATGTTTTCTCTTCGCTTTGGAAGAACCAAGATAATCGGTAGCAGCAACTTCATACTTTGCTCACCCCTGTTGATTCCACAAGGCCCCGGTTAAAGGGCATATATCATCAGATTTTAGAGCCAGAAAACCTGAAAAGTATGAAACAAATCACAACTGCCTTTTCTTAAATAATTTAAAAATGCACTTGTCCGAAACAAAACGAGCCTTCTGAGTCGCGTCCAATGAAACAGGAAGGCACTACCATATATGGATGATGACAGAGTGACTCTGAACACAATGGATTGTTTTGTTGACACGAGAAGACGTTTTGACACAGGAATTTGTCAGACGCATGCGTGGCTGCTTATTACAGAAAGGATGAAGTGAGCACTTTTGCTTCGAAGATCTTCTCTGCAAAAAATGTAGGAGGTAAATACTTGCGAAAACAGTCTGTCGCAAATGCGTTTTGGCCCCGGCTTTAGGTGACGACGCTACCCAAATCTGAAAAATGAGAAAACGCACTTCATGGTACTTCTACAAAAGACAGGTCCACCAGGGAGTCAACAGCCAGACCATTTAGGCAACTGCAGCTGTTGATTATGAGCTTCATCAGGTAAGAAAATGCTTTTTTTTCTGTTTTACACTGTACTTAATTTCTTTCTTTACGTTTGAGCCAAATAAAGGAGTGTGTGACTACAGCTGCTTTGGGAACACACCTCTGGTTTTTCTCTGTCATCCACCACATCAAACGTCAGAGAAGGTCTAGATGGACAGATGTCGTCCTCGGAACAACATCTGAGGATATTACTGTAGGAAAGTTGGTTCATTTAACAGAGAGAATTGCTCTGTGTGGTTAGCTTGTATGAAATATACTAGCGGTCCTTGGTCAGCGAAAACGAGTTTTAATGTCTCACTTTACAGCCGATTTCGGTGCTTGAGATGTGATGTCATCGCTGTTCGGGCGACATTCAGCTGTGTACTCGGCTGCATTGTGCTCTGTTCGTCTCTCATCCTTTTAAACATCTTTCTCACATGCTAGTCAATGTTTCTGTGTGAAATTTCAACCTGAAAACAACTGAAGAAGTTGTAGAAATTGATGATATATGCCCTTTAATTAAATGGAAGTAATCAGGTTATAATGTGAGTGATTGTTGACAGAAAACTTGACAAAAATATATAATTCCAGACTAAAATTTGCAAAAAAACAACAAAACTTCTGAAGGGAGTTACATTATGGATGGTGTGAATTTTTGAAGTGTATGAAAATTAGCAAATGGATTCTCTGCAAAAACAGCACGTACATCAGAACAGTTCTACAGCTTTAAAAAAATGTTTTAACGCTTTTTCTCTGTAAGAGAAAAGAAAAAGACATTTGAAAAAAAGCACATCAACTTTATAATAAAAAACTAAATCAATACTTCTGTATTTTAACTTTGACCTCTCCCCCAAAACTGAAATGAATCAACATTGCGACCAGATAAAAGGGGTATTTATTCATTATTACTTTAAGTCTGCTCCTGTGGATCAAGCATCGTCTTCTCCATGTGATGTGTGGACTTGATTGTGAAACAGATTTGATGTTTTTTCTTCTTTTTCTTTTTGTACAATGTGCATTGAGTTGCTTCCCCCTGTATTTCGGTGTGCTTCTCGTTGTCTCTCGTTATGGGTCATAATCACTGATGCATTTCTGACGACGTCATTATTGTTCATTAACTTTTTTTCTTGCGTTGGTTTCATTTAGTTTTATGAGCCCCAAAATGGATCCTTGAAGCAAAAAAGAAAAGGTAATTCCCTATGATGCTTCAATAGTCAGGATTCCCACCCTCACCCTCGTCTTAAGCTGAGGTTCTTTTTATTTGGGCTTGTTGGGGAAATTACTTGGTCCTCCGGAAATCATCTTTTTCATTTTTTGACGAGTCATGTCGCACATCCAACACTTAAATGAATTGTTAGCAAGGAGTTAAGGAGTACTTTCTCAAGCAGGAATTTATGGCTCAGAAGAGAGGCTCGCTTGGATTTCTTTTTTCTCCCAAAGGGCCCTCCAGTTTTATCTTCCAATACTGGACGTTTTACGTTGCATAGTGATCAAAGCTTCCCAAATACTCCAAGCCGGCTCTGTAGCAGAATTGGTATTGATCCTGGAACGAGAGAACACTTTAGTGCCTTTTAAATCAAATCATTTTGGATTGCTTATTTTACACATTGTGGTTAATATATCCAACTTAAAAACAATAAAAGTATCTACAGCTCGCCATTGTTTCTGAAATGATGCAATAAGACTGGAGCTGAGAGTGCACACAGCTACTGCAGACATATTCAACTACTAAATTAATCATACTCTTTGACAAAGGCTTGCTTAAGTTGATCTTTCTGGCTCAGAGGGATTCCTGAAATCTTCCTTGACCGTTCAAACAACTGGAGTAAAATAATGTGTTAGAACCACAGCAGCTGATTTGATGAGTCTGCATTGCTTTCAGAAAGGCTGTGTCCTCCATGGCCATGCAAAGACATCCACACTACTTGTATTTTCAGAGTATTAACAGTTCCGACTCACCTCTGTCTGTACCATCGCTGGTCTTTGTGTCCGTAGCATTTTCACTGTTTGAAAGATGTCTACCACACCCTCGTATCTCATCCGCTCCAAGACGATGCTGAGGGTTATGAAAACTCCGGTTCTACCAACTCCAGCGCTGTGCGAATCAGACAAACAAGTGAGAAGACGTTCATGTTGTGTCTCAACACTTTAATATTCACATGATGATTCAAAAAAGAGGTCCAGTGTGTTTGGGAATGTTGCCTGACCACTTACCTACAGTGGACTGAGATGGGACCATCTTGGCCGAACTGCTCTTTTGTTTTATGTACTTGGCCGATGAAATCGATGAAACCCTCTCCTGATTTTGGCACTCCTTGTTCAGGCCAGTCAGTGAACTGAAACTGCCTTACTGTTCGTGACTGTCCATCCTGAAACACGGGGAAGAAAAGGCGACACATATGGCAAGCCATGTTGAGCCGTAATGAAAACACTCTCCCACCTGAAGTTTATTTTACATGTTGTTTAAAAGTTGTTTTTACCCAAAAAGTTTTTTTATACATTAACTGGTTATTATTTACATCAAAAATAGTTAATAGACTTTTTAAATAAAACGTTGAACCAGGCACTGGTCGTAAATTATTGCAGAATCTATATATGGCAACAAACTGGTGAAACTAATTGCTTATTATTGCATTATAAAAACTTGTGGATGTGATATATTGTGAAGATGGCCAGTTTTTATGTTTGATATCTAAAATTAAACCATGCTAAAAACTACAATAGGCCGATATTTCAATCATGCAATCTGCTTTAGAAAGCATGAATTTACTTGTTGATATTTATAATCAAAGACTAAAGCAAATGTGATAAATTCAACTTCATCCATTTGTCAGAGAAAATTTTGTTTAAGATTCCTAAAATGTTCATTGTGATGGGAAGTGTTTTAACCTTTCGTTTGTCTATGATATCTCTGATCCATGTGGCGTCGAAGCGTTTGGGTTTCAGCTACTAAATGTGAGTCTTGAAAATGTGCCGCAAAGGTGGCATCAAAGGAAGCCTTTCATTATTACACCCAAATGTATTTAATATGCCCACTGAAGACGCTGATTGCTTTGATGTGCGGCTTTTGACAGGTATTGGGGGAGAGTTTTAGTTTGAGGGTGTGCATTGCTTAAGTGATGTTCTACCCCCTTGATAAGGAAACCAATCCCATTGACGAGACTGTGTTACACGCTCCACAAAGGCGGGATGCTGCACCATTTATCTGTCTGAGCCTTTGATGGAATTAAAAACTGTGGCAGTTCACTGCTGCCGGCACCACTCGCATTTTAGCTTGTTTTTTCTTTTTTTTTATTACACTCTGACAAGTGTCATGATTTGTGCAAATTTGGATTTACTTTTCTGTTGCACTTGAGGCCACAAGCTGGTGTAAACAAATATTTGAGAAAATGCCAACGTGTTGATGTAATGACTAATCCAAACAGATCTGGGTAATTAAAATCAGTCCTCAACCTTGTTTTTCTAAACCTTCTCTACAGCTAATTGAAACTCAGGAAACTGTATTATTTGATACTTTGATAATTATTTGTTTGGGCTTTTCTGTGTTTTGACATTTGCTGCACCAGAGGCCCAAATTAAAGAGCAGGGCGACTAAAGCGCTATAATCTTCCAGCTGACCTCGAGGCGAACCAGTTGCCCCGTGGAGTCAAAGACGGGTTACGACCCAGACTTGGATCAGTTTTAATCCTCAACGTTTAGTTTACAAGCAATCTCTGCTTACCCTGGCATCAGTCACTTTGAACTCTCGCAGGATATACTGGGGCATGTTATACTCGGCCATGGGGTCCACCACAAAGTACTGGTATCTGGCTGACCTCTCTGCCGGCCAGTACTGGTGACATTTTTCCTGGAAAAACAGACCACAGTGACTCACAACATTCCTTTTCACAGGAGGTTTATGGAATATTTTATGCATTGTATTGTATATTTTTGTTCTATAAAGCTGTGAAAACAAAGGCTATGGAGTGAAGTATCAATTACCCTGCCCATTTCTCTGAGCTTGGTGAGCATGACTACAATGGTGGAGTTGTGCTCCCAGAGCATTCTCCAGAAATCTTCTGTGGTCTCCGCTAACGGTCCCTGTGTTGCAATGTAAGCTTTCTGTTGCCTGGAGGAAACAATCAGATGCAACCATGTGAGATAACTTACAAAAAAAATAAATCTCAAGTTTACTTGAATTATTGCACCTTGAAGCTTACCTGTACCCATCAATGAAGCTTGCATTGATGTAGTCCGAGCCCTCCACTCCTCGGATTGGCTGAAGACACACTCGTGTGGACTCGTATGGCATGATGTTGACAAGGCGGTTCTTAAACTTGTTGCAGGGGAGATTGGCACTGATGAATCGCGACGTGTGAGCTTTAGTGTTGGCTAAACGCTGCAAGGGCAAGGAGAGACGGAGAACTTAATGAGCGTCAAAATGATAGATACAAGCGATGACGGATGCTTCTCTGGAGACGGGCTGCGTTTGACATCAAGGGTACACCACAAGAGAAATATCTAAATCCTGTTCATATTTTTGTGTTTTCTCTCTTTTTCCCTGACTAAAAGGAATTCCTAATTCAATGCGTCATTGCTGTGCAGAGTCATTAATGGAGTTACTGCTGCCATTACTTTTGTTTACAATCTTTACAACTCAATGGTTTTATGTTGAACTCCCTCTTCCGCTGACTTGCTCAGTGGTGTTTAGTAGTCTGTCTATCCTGGATGAAGCCCAACTCTGTCTGGATACAAGGAATAACGATGCAAACAGAAAGATATAATATCTAGAGATAAATACAGCGATAGAAAAGAACTCAAATGACACTATTTAGACGTGTTCTGATTTGTACCTTGAACTCCAGCTCCATGCCAGTGACATTCTCTCCACCCTCTATCTGGGTCAGTTTCTGGATGTAGGCGTACAGGTTTCTGGCGGGCACTTCGGTTGTGCCGCAGTTGACGGCCTCCTGGAGCGCGTCGTGTATGAAGACGTACTGGTCTTCTGTTTGCACCATGTAGTTGCGCTGGGCGCGCATCAGCGTTACATGTCCGTAGATGTCCACGGTCTTCTCGTGCTTGATACGTTCCAGCATGGCATCAATCACAATGAAGCAGCCGGTGCGGCCCACCCCGGCACTGTGATCACAACAATCAGAGGTATGTTGTCAGACACTCTTATGGAAGATGCACGGTGCTATACTTTGTTTACTGGGCGATTCAAGTTCATGTAACTTTTTCTTCCCAGCGTAATGTCATTGGCTGTTGTCTTAGGTTTGCTGCTACAAAATACAATCATCTTTGCAGTTTCAGTGTGCAAAAAATAATATAAAATAATAATAATAATAATAAAATCAATTGGATGTGATGTTTGTCATTCTGCACCATTTCATTTGCCATGTATTCATATTCTACATGCCAACATTTTTCAAGATTTTGCCAGTTGAAAGATCATTGCCTGTTTTTTATGCCCACAGCTAAAATAGATCATAGGCCAAACATTTTCAGCTGCGTCCTATGACAACCGATGTTCCTCTTTTTGGGAAAATAATGCTAAATTAAAAATACCACGTCTTCTTGTATGACCTGATTGGAAATATTTGTATTTCCTATTAAAAGTAAAAGTTAAATTGAAAGAATTTCTACATCCTTGAATGCAAATATATAGAAACTGGATTTGGTTTGACATGGACAGTGGACTGAATTGGCAGTTTTGTAAGGACATAATGCATGTGACAGGCCTGATCTCCAGTAAACCGAGGAAGAGACATCTTTTATTTCTCCAGCTAAAGGCCAAAAGTTACACTCTCCACCAAGTTTTCTCCTGTACAATGAGCCATTAAACTTGTACCATAATTGAATCTGAAGTGGCGCTGGGCTGGCACTCAGTCTGTAGCAGGCTCCAAACTGTTTCGCCTCTAGACCCCACCTGTGCTCTCCACCTGATCAGAAGTTAATGCACTTATGCGACAGAAATATTCCACCTTTATCTCTTGGTTCAGAAAAGTGCCACTACAGTAAATGTGATCCACTGCTGCAAACATGAGAGGAACGTCCATTTTCCCGGCTTTGTTATTGGTGACAGACAACTTTGGAGAAGTGCAGCTGACTACAATTAGGATTATTAGATTAGTACAGTGCACCTGAACAGCAGAAGGGCTTTTTAGGAAGCACTGAAATGCAGGTCTCTTCATCAAGATTCATACTGCCGCATTTTTACGCTAATGTGCAAAATGCGCAAGTGGAAACAAAAGTTGTTTTACTGTTTCTCTTTGACCTGCCCTTGCAGGCAGATTCAGAATCACTGGAGGAATGCAGCCTCCCCAACAGACCGATGGTGGTTTAGAAATGTTTTGTATGTTCCACATTCACAACAAGGAGGATGTCTTTTGAAAACAATTTATAGAACCTGAAACTATTACGAGGGCTCCCATACATGCTTGAATTTTAATACCGACTATAGATCTACAACTTTCGTATTTATTTTTAAAGAATGTGAATACAATTAAGATTAACTTTAAGGTTCCAGCATAGATGAATTATGAGGTGTTTCAATTTAAAGGTATGACTTATTTTACCTTCAGCAAAGTTTACTTTTTATGCGCACAAAAAACAGTTATCTTTTATTGCTTTCAGGCTCCGCCCCTTCTGCAAAATTACATCTATACTTAAACAGTTAATGATAGTGACTTCTATAAGAAGAAGAAGGGTGACCAATCAAAATCTGCTTCAAGCTCCATATGACCTTGGGTGAGTATGAAGCTTAATAAAATCCAGTGCAACCAACTGCTTTCAAAAGCAGCTGAATAGTGAGCAGAGCCCACAGAGGTTTGTTAGAGGACAGTAGTGAACAAACAAAATCATGAAGAACAAGGAGCACCTCAGGCAGAACAGGGCTGAGAGTGAAGAGCAGCTTTTTTTGTGTTTTTTCTTAAAGGTTTTTGTGGCTGAAGTGGTCTAGTTGGGCAAGAAGAAGAACAGAGAAAGAGGAGAACACATGCTGTAAATGACCCCTACTTCCTCCTTTTACAACCTACTTCCCAAGTTCAAAAAGGAAAGTAAAAGCCATCATTTAAAAATGTTGACGAATCTGCCAAGATATGGTAGCCTCCCTAAATTTACAGGCTGCGCAGGGAAAACATTCATCAAGTACTTACACTCAAAAAATTTGTCCTTTAAGGATGAGTGGCGAAGAAAAAGCTGACTTAAGAAAACCATATAAAAACTACCACAAGCCATGCAGGGGAGATAATAAAAAGTTGGTGCTCTGGTCTGATTAGACTGAAGTTAAACATTTTGGTCTATAAAACGCTCAGTGTGGTGGAGATCTGACATCAGCCTGAGGAAGTCACTACAAAAAAAGCATAGGCAGGTGCTGGAACGGCCCAGAAACTACAACGAATTCAGTCTCCATTTATTAGTTTGTAAAAACTACCATCAACTATGTAATATTTTACAGGCAGGTCCCATTTACGCCGTACGTTTTGTTGGACTAGTACACAAACCATGATAAAATAAAGTCAAACACCGTAGCAAGGGAAATGCATTATGTTGTACGTTTCATTTGTTTTTCTTCTACCTCACACAGAGCTTGGCCTTGACAAGTCAAGTTCTTGCACTTGGCTCTCGAAAGCAAATAGGTTATTCAATTCATTTGGTGTACGTGTCTATGAGGGGTGAGGCAGCCCCGTGCGCCTTCCTCTTCCTCCTCCTCCTGAAGAGGCATTTGTTTTTCATTTGCTGTGAGAAACAGAATAGGTTGAGTAGGGGAGCTCAAGAGGCAGCGGAGCTGGTCCCCCGGGGCCGAGTGTAGTTAATGTGCCTTGCAGCAGAGAAAGCGTACTGTTGCAAACGGCATAAAGACACACATGGGAGTCACTGGCTACAGCAAATGATCTGATGATCACTTTCAAAATGGATGAAAGTGAATAATTTCTTTGCCTTTCTTGACACAATCCCTTACTGCTCCAGGGTGAAATTAGAAAGTGCACTTAAGTGAAAGGGGAAGTTTTTTTGGGGGGCCCTAAAGAAATGTAAATGTATCCCAGGGGAGCAATCTGAGGAATGAGTCACTTCCAGGTCTGAAAACACCTAAAACCCCTTGGGTGTAAGGATAGAAAAAAACCCTATAGATTTCTTCCTTTGCTGCAGCAGAAAACATTTTTCAGAGCAGCCCTGAATGTGGGAGAGTGATGACCTGCTAGAGAGTAAATGACAGAGTGACAGCGCGGAGCTAGACGGACGGAGACGGAGGAAGATGAGGAATGGGAAAGGAAGGTGAGGAGAAGACACTCATCTTGAACTCGTGTCGCCCTCAAGTTAGTTTTTCTAAAGACTGAGCTGCAGAAATACACATCGGCTACACTTTTTTTCCCCCTCACTAAGTGTAAGACCACAAAAGGCAAGTGTAATTTTCCTTTCTTTTTTGGAGAAGTGATGGGGTGTCGGGGTGAGCTGGTGCAGAAAGCTGTCAGTACGCTTGGCAGTTAAAGGGGAGCTGGCGCACTGACCACGCTAATGACCTGACACTGCCTTTTCAGCTATTCAAAAGCGGCCGCCTCGGACGTTGACACACACACACACACGCACGAAAGTGTCAGGCTAATATGCTTTCCAGGAGGTTAGGGAATACGGGGGTGAGAAGGGGAGGAAAAAGCAGCGCATAGCACAGCTGCAACGGGTCCTGTGAAGATAAAGCATTAGCAGCAGTAAAAGCAATTACATATGTATTGTTGGCAAATCTCTGGCTGTCAGCTGGTCTGTCACCGTTTTTTTTTTTTTTCTTTTTGCTGTTCTGTCTATAAAAACATCCACACATGTAATAAATTAAACTCACTGGGATATCTGGGTTGCAAATTGAGGGCTAGCTTTTACTCAATTGTATGTGAACAAAATTTGGACATTAAGTGATTTCTAACCTAAACTAAGATGTTTTTTTTATTTTTTTAAATGCACTTAATTGTGAGTAAAACAGTATGACTGGCATGTTTTATGCAACGGTGATGTTGAAACCATACGATTTGTTTTTGATTATCCAGTTGAGCGATTCAGATTAAACAAATTATAAAACAGGACAAAGATAACGAAACGCAAACAGCAGTTTTTAAATGATCTCATTCAATGGAAAGAAGCTCTCCACACCAACCTGGCCCTGTGTGGAAAGAAAATAATTGCCCCCGTGTTTATTTATGAATTACATTTGACACCCGATGTTGCTGGGGGGTTACGGACACACACTCCCACAGGAACAGCTAAAATCTGTGACTATTTGAGACATCCTCTGACCTTTATTTGTTTAATTTTGAATATCTTACTGTGAGGGTGAAACAGTTCTACAAAGACTGGGCCCAAATTCCTTTAAGGACATGTAGATTGTCAGCGATTGCCAGTTTTCATGGCATGGTTATGTGACTCACTAAAACATTTCACCGTGGTAGAATAAAAAAGCAAAAACAGAACTCTTTGAGGTTGGTCAGTTTTCTTAGTTCTTTTCCGCATTTGCACGCAACATGCTGTCCTTTTCCTTTTTCCTGATGAGCATTTTGGTCTTTTGTCTTAGGAGATTTTGACTCTGAGATTGTGTTCTTTCGGCTTTAACGGAAATATGTTTAATCTTCTTCTCAGGGAATGTTTCTCCCATGTTGCTTAACCTGTCAGTGAAGCTGGGATTTCACTGAGTTTTACGTCTCTGGTTGTAGGAAAGCCAGCTCTTCTGATTGTCTGTTATACCTGGATGTAACCAAAAGTGCAGATCAATTCAGTCCAACGGCGTGTTGTGCAGCACATTTTTATAACAAAACTATAAGCACGACAGCAGACCTCATTTATTTTGTCATCATTTACAGGCTGTTCACTAGAACATAGTATGCGCCATTTCATCACTAACTTTTTGTCCCATTATATAAAAACTGTTATTAGAAATTTATGAAATCAAAACAGCATCCATGTCTATCTAAGAAAGTAGTGCTATTCTTTCAAACAAGGGATCAGGACATGAAACAAAACAGATGTATATCTAGGCAGCAAGAACCTGACTGAGGCGACATTCATAGTAACATCAGTTTGAGAAAAAATATTTTAAAAAACCACAATTCACTCTTAAGTGTCCAAAATAATATAGAAAGTTGTAATAACCGATATTTGCTTGCATTTGCCTACTCTAATACTCTGAAGACTAAAAAACAAAGCACACACACACAATGCCTTAATAGAAAGTTGTCGTCACATCAACGTACGATGGTCCTGTTTGTAAATTATTGGCATTCATGCTTCATTTTTGTTCTTCGCTATGCTTTAAGTTTTTAGCCTGTGCACAAACAGCTTCCACAGGAGGATCTGCACTAAATTAGTCGGTAAGAAATACTTTTATCCTATTTTTAACAGCTTAACCACAACACTAGCTATGTGTGATCCTGGAAGCATGTAAATATACCGGTTTCTTCTATTTAACATGAAACATAGTGATAAAAAGGCCCTGATTGGGGATTTGGATGGTGGACACGACTATCTGATGGGAAGCCAGAAGAATTTAAAACTCCAATCTGCAGTGTGACATTAATTCCCATATTTTTCTTCAGACTTTAAAGTCTTTCTTTGTGGGGGGGAGCTTTTCAGCAACTAGCACTAATTAACTTCAGCATGTGGTAATTCTACAGTAATCCTTCTTCCTTTTTTGTCACTTTGATAAAAGTTTGTATCTTTTACACTGTCACCACTTCCTAATCCCCACACCCCCACGATGAGTATGAGAGTTAAGAAAAGCCAGAAGACTGATGGGAAGCCCCGCTGCTCATGTTACTGATGGAAGTGAGGTTGCTGAGCGAATTTTGGATGTATCAACCTAAATGAGATGAGCAGACATGTGGGTTGTTGATGCAGGAAAGGAATGATGACAGGTCAGCCCATATCTGTCTCTGAGTGGGAGGATCGCTGCAGGAAATGTAGCTGGTGCTCGTGGTACGACGTTGCAAACATGTTCTAAGTTTGAGTGCTTTCTGGAAAATGTGGCAAGATGGCCTTTTTGGGCTGCAATGTAGTGCATTTTAGTGCATTCTTTCTTAGATATCACTACACAAATGACTCAAATATAAGCCTTTAGTAACAAAGAAAGTGATTTTTTTTTGTCATATGTATTCATTTATTCATTCCAACAAATGGAGAGGAAAGAAATCAATTTCATGCTCCAGGATGTTTCTGTAAAACTGTGATGTTTCCCACCTGCAGTGCACCACCATGGGCCCCGCATCTGGAGGATTGCAAGCTTTCACCCGTCTGAGGAAGGCGAGGAATGGCGTGGGGTGCTCCGGTACCCCGTGGTCTGGCCAGGCAGTGAACTGGAACTGCCTCACCTCCCTCTTCTCACTGGAGCCATTCTGAAATAACAAACGGAAGTAACTAACGCATTTCGTGCCGGAAAAAACAACAACAAACAAACAAAAAAAAAACTTCACAAATCCTCACCTTAAAAAGTGCAAACGTCCGGACGCAGTATGTGGCCAACTCTACTGTGTCCAGCAACGTTATCTGGATGAGACCGTAGGTCTCTGTCCCTCTTGTGGGCCAGTACTGGTCACATTTCACCTGCAGGATGCACAGGTTTCAGGTAATCAGTCCATGTTAAGATACAAAGTAGTGCATAATTGTGAAGAGGAAAAGAATCCATGGTTTTAAACCTTATTTTTTGGAAATGTGCCTTTCTTGTTCAAAATCAAGACTGACAACAGATTAACAATTGGCTTTGTGTCTGGACATAATCCTAATATAGCTAGAGATTTACTAAGATTACATTTTAAACTGTTGAACTTATTAGACAGGTGGACACACCTGTAATCAGAGTTTTCAAAGTAAGTGATAATGAATTCACTGCATGCCACATGTCTATGGTTTTTTAATTACTATTATGCCATTTATCACAGTATCTCACTTCTATTTAATTATGAGACTCTACTTTGAATTGGACTACCCCGTAAAATCACAATAGTGAATACTAAACCTTGAACCTTCTGCTTTTTACTAAGCAAAATGTAATAAGTAATGTTGCAAGTCACTCTATATTTGTAGGACCACTTTGCACAAATAACAGACTAAACAAACATTGACCTCCTCACCCCCCATTCCTGCTGACTGGCTTTAATTTCCCAATCAATGAAACGGCCTGAGATATTTGCATGCAGCCAGCAGTGCTATTAATTGTCATGACTTAATCTATAATTACAAATTTAAACAACATCCAGTCATATTAGCGTCTTTGCTTTATTGCCACTCTGGCCTCCTTGTATCGAATAAAACACTTGATTTGCCGTGTTACTGTTTCAGTAGACAAAAAGAGGCACGGCCGCTGCTGGAGAGGAAATAACCAAGCTCCTGAAGAGTTGTAATTTAAAGTGTTCATTGGCTCAAATGAGTATATTTAAGAGTCGTTATTATCATCATATTTCCTAATATACACTATATGATTCTGTCAGACTCTTAAGCCAAATGTCAGCAGCATGAAGCACACCGTTTAGTAACATTTTACTTTTGAATATTTTGAGCTTTGGAAAAACAGAACATAAAAGCAATGTTTTTGCCCCAACTATGAAGTGCAGTGATTCTCAATTATTTTAAATTACTACAAGTTTAACAAGATTTGGCAACATTAACAATATTTATAGCAATCTTTATTGTTTAGAGAAATTCAGCAATTCAAAGTGCAGTGTTTGTGCGGTTAGCATCGGAGAAGCTCCTGCCACTCTTCAGTTAACTGTGTGGCAGCATTTGAGTTTCAAAATAAACATAAAAAATGTGACTGACAATGCCAAAATGTTTCGTAAGTACTGAATTTTTTTTTTTTGACAGACTCCTGCCCACTGTCATTTCACTGTTTTTGAGGGAAAGGTTTTATCACTTAAAATATTTCCCTCAACAAACGAACTGGATCGTTCTCTGCTGAAATGACATATTTTACAATGAGTGTGAGCACAAGTTAAAACTCACTCTTCCAGATCACGATAATCTATATTCCACAATGAGTCGAAACTATCGAATAACAACATATTATCAGGGTTGAGGAAGGCCTTATTTTATGATGATTTGTGTTGTGTTTGATATGAACAAGTAGCCGTTTTTGTCCCATACCCTCGACCTCTCTTCCAGTTTGGTCATCATGACAATGATGGCACTCCTCTGCTCCCATATCATCCTCCAAAATTCACCAAACGTCTCCGGCAGTGCTCCCTGGGTGGCAATGTAGGCATTTTGCTTCCTGTAGCCGTCTATGTAGTTAGCGTTGATGTAGTCACTTCCAGGGATTCCTTAAAGATGGAAAGGAAAGTTACTAGTTTAACAGAGAAAGTAAATGGGATGACAAAAAAAAAAAAAATCTGTCTACTGAAGGCTTAACTTTTCCAGACTGTACAGAAATCCGGGTGTTTGTTTTCCATACAGCTCCATCACTGTGCCTATTTAGTGCATCGTCAGACTTTCTAATGCGCTTCCTAAAATTATTTCAGTCAGACTGATGTTTTCTGTAAGGAACGCGGCACAAACGCTCCTTTTTTGGGGGGATGGGAAGGCAGTGTTACTCGTCCGAAGGGATTTGTGTTTGCTATCAACAACACATTTCCCTATTCCATATCTGCAGCTGACTTACAGATAAAGCTCGGTCTCACACGGAGAAAAACAAACCGACGAGAAAGTAGCAAAATAATTTTCCCCCAGCTCTGCTCTCCCTTTTCCCTTTGCTTATAATAAATGAAAGGCGCAGCAGCCTTTTCGAATCCAGGCAAAACAGACAGAGCTGACAGCTAGTCAATGCTTGAGGACTGGCAGTTTAGGGGCTCCGCGCACACATGGTCGACCAAGATAAGTCTCATCTGCATGGGCGCCACGTCTCAGAGAAACACCCCCCTCTCCTCATCCCCTCCACTTCACTCCAGCTGCTTCCTCTTCCTCAGACTTCCTTTTACTCTCAGGTAACTCATTCAACAGCGTAAAAGAGAAAGAAAATGGAATATGAACACATTAAAAGAACCCACCCACATTGTTTTTTTTGTTTTTTCTCTCCCACCCACCCTCGCTGAAGCCGTCCACACAGAATCAGGCGGCTGTGCATTTCTGTGATGGACAAGGGATAAGTACAATTAAGCCTTGGGCGTTCTCAATTTGAAAAGAGAAAAAAAAACACACACAAACAAACAAAGACATTATGGTAGTTTAATGAGAATGAGGCGAGTTGGTTAAATATACATTTGCAAATGGATTTTTCTTTTATTCCTTCTGTCACTCAGGATTTTTGTAAATTTCTCCATTTTCTAAGTCAATGCAGCCATTAAGACATTAAAATGTTGATGTTCTTGCAGCATTGCTCAGCTGGCGCTCGACCCTCATTGGAGGAAGATGAAGGTATCTCAAAGAACATGCTGAAGGTTTTATAATTACGTCCAGATTTCAGCTTGTTTTTAGATTTTATTTTTTTAAATAAAACCAGGAGTTACAAAAAAACAACTCTTTGTTTTCAACAACAAAAAAAAGATGTTTTTTATGGCAGCATCCAAGCTAAATATCAATTAGCAGAAAATATGTGGATTGTTTCATGTCTCTAACTCTCAGGGGGAAAATATACAGAGTTCCATTTCTTAGAAAATCAGAAGGTTATTTCTTCAGTAATTCGGTTCAAAAAGTAAAATTTATATTGATTAAATTCACAATATGTGACGTATGACGAGCTTCAATGTGACAAATAAACCTCAGTTATTTGTCAAAAAAATGATTTTTATTTTTTTTTTATTACAGATATGACAGCCTGCTAAAAGTTACACATTGTATGGACTCTGAAGTCAGGGTTACTTTTGCATGAATTAATGCATCAATGCAATGTGGCATGGAGGCCCTGCTCAAGGTTGCTTTCATGACTCATTTTTGTTATGAAAACCCACAAAGCAGCAGTTTTTCCTCACTTTCGTTTGAGATCCATCTGACATCTTGACTGGTTTAGAGGGGCTGAACACAACACAGTGTTGCCAGTAAAGTTATCCCTTATGTTGTGCACTTTGTTCTACCACATTTCTTCCCTTTGACTTAACTTTCCGATAATTTGAGCAGCAAGGGATTTGACCTCTTGTGGGGGAGTCCCTAACTGCATGCTAAGCAACTGTAGAGTTAGCAGTGTGTGTGTTGGCCACAACATTTTTTTGTATGAAACATTAATGCCCTCATGTGATATTTTAATTTTCGAAGAAGACGTGCTTAAATTTGTTGCTATCATATTTTCATCTGTTCAGAGTATTAATATTGCACAGAACTCTGGAATATAATATTTGTTGGCAAGTATACTCAAAGTTTCATGAGTCTGCACCTTGTCCAGCAGGCTGAATATGACACTGGTGTGCAGAATGTCAGTGATGCTCACTTTTGACACAGATTACAGTCTCCTGGTTGGTAAATGTCACAGAGGTGTTTGGAAGCAAAGATGAGAAACCAAAGCAGCGAGGAAGATGTGGATTTATTGCAACTGATATTGTCTATGATTTTTCACCAGTGTGCAGCCCTATGTGTGAGCCATAATCATCCAAATTAAGATGTGTTCTCATTTGAATAGGATTGCTGAAATAATAAACTTTTCATGCATGTTGTAATAAATTAAAGTGCTTCAATAAAATTTCCAAGGTATCAGTAGAACTAATAAACTAATCAAGAATAGCCAACTTTAATTCAGCAGATGGATGCTTTCAGACATCTTGTGTAAATACAGTGAAGTCACCGCCTGTTTTCCAGAGATTCTGTCCACATATGTAAATTTTAACTTCAAACTCTAAAGTCAAATCCCTTTTTGCTTCTCTGTGGACTAGTTTTCACAGAGAACATCAACAGATGCACTGCTTGCCAAAATGCTTTTGTTAAGGCTTTAGTAGGAACTGTTTCTTGTGTCTGTCTGAAAGCAACAGTGTGTTCAGCTGATGTGTTTTTTTTCCAGTGGCTCACTAATGGAGCTCCATCAACACTTTTAAGTTGTGGGCGGTTTCTAATAGCCTGGAAAAAGATGGTCTCTAAGTCACTTTATCCATTTACTATTTTATTTATTTTTCATTTTCTTCCAGGGGAGCATCTGAGTGGAAATGCTTAATTAGTAGCTGTTTGTGTGGGTGCAGTTGTGTTTAATCATAAACTGATGAATGAGTTAGTGCTTTGGAGGGAAGTTTCAGAGCCTTTTTCATGTATTAGGAGCACTGATGTGCAACGCATTATAGATGTCATGTCATACCTCCCTCTAACACTGCAGCTTATGTTTTACCTGATCACACCAACAATTGTCCTTTTTGTGCTGTACAGAAACACTACTGATTCAATCATTCATTCATAGAGTATGACATTTCTAGAATAACAGCTTTTTACCAGTTTGTGTATCAATATACTGCAGTAAAATGTATACTATGCTTTTATTCTGACTATATAACATTGACATGATTTAAGCTGAATGAATTGGTGCTATTTAAATAAAAATAATTTACTGACATCTGACAACCAAATTTGACATGCTTGTTTTTGTATATTTGTGTTATAAAATGACATTTCCTGTAGAATCTACTTTGTTTTTTGTTGGCAAAAAAACACAAAACACAAATGAACAGGTAACGTTTACTACAAACATCACTGTCATGTACCGACGTTTCTTATAAGAGCCACCACCAGATTCTCACATATGAATGTAATAAAATTTAATAGTGTAAATTGTAAGTGCCTAGGAGGTCTTAAAACATGTTTCTATAGGCCATCGTTACAATTAATCCAGCAATTAGGAAGAGAGGCGTACCATCGATAGCTGAGAGTAGGACTCTGGAGTGATCATAGGCAATTACGTTGGCGTATCTGTTCTTTGGTTTGTTCACCTCCAGGTTGGAGTGCTCCCAGGTGAACTGCTGACCAGGGTCAATGGACTGGAAAGGAGAATAGCATCACACTGTTACCACAATAAAAAAAAGTTTTGAAACAAGATTAATAAAAATGACATGAGAGAACATTGATAGTTAACATTTAGGAGGTTTTCACATTCTTAAATTCTCCTTTCAGCAATAAAACTGTAAATGAAAGTTGGATCTGATGTTTTGGACTTATGTTTAATTCATTTCTTTCAGAGTATTCTGGAAAAACTTTGGGCCATACGTGTTTTTATGCATTCAGATACTATCCAGGTCCTGTTTAGCTAGAATGTGGGGATTTTTTTTTTTTAAGTAAAAGCACTTATAAATATTTCAGCCTGGTATGTCTGATGTTTCAGTTGACCCCAGATCCTATTTTAGCTTTTGCCGACTCTAATAGCACATTTGTTGGAGAGTAAAAGCTGAAAACGTACATTATGTGCTTCTGTTATGCATAATATTGATTTTTTTTCCCCCTTTTTTGTGCTGCTGTAAGACCTTCTCAGCTGCACAAACACAGTGAAGCAGAAAGGCTTTGAAATATTAATGAAATACTACTATATGGAAAAGTTACACTAGCCATGCTAAACACTGCAAACCCTCAGGCTTTAAAGAGTTACAGCGGTGGCAATAAATTTACACCCAAAGATTACCTTTGTTTTGAAAAAAGAAATAAGTAAAATAGAAAAAATATTCACAAATTGCATTGGGAGAGAGAATTTTTGTTTTCTGACAAAAGACTTCCATAGACAAGAGGACCAAATTAGTCAGTATGGTATGAGGTTCCAGGTAAATCCTAACCCTATTTCATCTAATTATCTAATCTAATCTAATTATGCTGCCATTTCGTCCGTTCGTAATTCAGTTATTTTATCCATAAACAATTTCATTCTCATAAAGGCCAGTATTTTTTGTGCACCACCTTATTTCTATACTCAGTGAATAAGTAACTGATAATGAATAATTATGAATCATCATAATTTTAGTCTATATTATTTCCCATTTGTTTCGTTTCTGATTCCTGTGTAGCCCAGAAAAATGTATATGACATTAAATTTGACATTTGAAATTTGATCCTTTGTCAAACTAAAATTACCAGTCAACTTTCTGTTGGTAAATATTGTTTAATGGAATCACAAAACCGATCACTGATTATCAAAGCCGGTAAGAAAAATGTCCTGTGTGTGAGTGCGTAATTCATCTATATAACGTGTTTAAATTTGCTTAAATAAATATATAAATCAAAAAAGAAATTCAAACTTATAGCATATCAGTGTAAAACTCTGGCCATCTTCACACTTATGTGTATCCTTAGCAATATTGAGATCTTCTGATGATTGGAAATTTAGATGCGTTTTCTGTTTTAAGCTCAAGAGGGCATATCACTGTGGGTAGGAATAAATGATGTTGAGGAAAACATGAAATGTAACTCTTTAGGTCAAATCTTCAGCCCAGATCTACTTTAGCCATGTTCAGGAATTTCTTCTATTGAATTTTGATGCATTTACACTATCACCCCCTACTGGCAAAACTTAGATATTACCAAGCTTTTGGAGCCTGATCCCAGAGACAGTATAGATGGACGTGTCTCCAAAAGCAAACCAAGAAAAAAAAACTCCAATACTATAGCCGTTGCCGAGCTAAACCCTTCAATTTTAGCACCATTACCCCAAACATTAGCCTACCAAGGACATATTTTTCTTATCAATATGTCCCGTCCAAATCGATCCTAAACAAAGGCATGGAAAGTCAGGCTAAGTGTGATTTTTACCAAAATATGTTCAAACAATGGACTGCAACATTGCTTACAATATAAAAATCTTTATTACACTGTGCTCATAAAATTGCTTTCCACTGCTCTGAAATAAGCAGTATGAAATTGGAATTGAAAGGTACTTAAGCGGCACTAATGATTTGGCAGCTTGGCAGTTTGAGGCCCACAAGGTGACCTCGTAGATTACGGAGGAGCTGAATGATCAGCACAGAGACGAGCAGAAAAGGGTAGTGGTAATTATTTTTCGAATACAACTGGGGCCTTTTTTGCTGATTTTTTTTAAGGATTTATGAAAGGCGTAGTACTAAATTACCAATTGCATACGGGAATAATTCATTTTGTTGGAGAATTTTCTAAAAGATCCCAAAGGGCTTTAGACTTCTAGGTTCTACAGTTATATCATAAGATGACTACATTATGCTTGTTTCACTCTTCATGCATCCTCATTGTGAGACTTCTTGCATTTTTTATTTAAGAAACAGTTTGACCGACTTTACGAAGGATCTTGACTCAATTTTGTGAGGCCAAAACCTCTGGAAACCCTGTTGGTCTTAATGTTTTCATATAAACTTTATAGCAGAGATATACTTTTGCTTCTTGATGTTTTTTTTTTTTTTTTTGTGTTGACTACACCTAAATATTTAAGTGTCTCTCAAGAACCACAAGAAGTTTTGACCCTAACTAAATTTGACCTATTTTTAAATGGTCTCAACAAAGAGTTGACACTCACTTCATATTCCTGCGAAAACTTTAGGTTGTCATTGGCTTTCAGGCGCTCTACGTGATCAGCCAATTCCATGATGGGGATTGGAGGGTGGTTCGCCATACCTGTCACAAAAAACAAAGACGAGATGGACTGATCATCGCTCAGGCACAAGCCTCAATTACCAGCATATGATTATAAGAGGTGGTGGTGGAAGAGTGAATCTTGTTAGGCTCGTTTGTTTACTCAAAGCAGTGACCATGCTAATAAAGAGACACAAAAGCCAATGAGAGGTCATCGAGCACACTTTAGCCCCCACTCCCTACAGAGAGAGAAAAACGTTATTCACACATAACGACGCAGTGGGTAGTTAGCAATGACAGCGTGTGCACAGACACAAACATCCCCAAAACACACAAACGTCACACGTTGAATGTTAGGCTGCTGACATCCGCTTTGAGTGATGTCATTTCAAACTCTGCCTCCTGCGATGTCATGGTGTTAAAGGCGTGATGAATTAGATGCGGATTGTAGATACAAAACTTAGCAGAAACAAAAGGAGGAAAGAATGGAGGTTTAAGAAAACAATTATGGGTTATGTCAAAAGCATAATCGAGAACAACTAACTTGACAAATGGAGGTTACTGGGGTGACTGGGCGCACCTGAACCTGTGGAGGAAATGTGGGTGAAATTAACTTTATTATCACAGCAATGTGATGACTGTTTTTAGTTTTAAAAAAAAGGTAGTAAAGGGCTAAGATATAACAGATTTTGTCTATTCTATGTGGAAATTAGTAACATATAAAATATTGCAATGCCACTGTGCTAATTTCACAAGGAAGACGGAGACTGAATGATCTGATAATTTGTTTTGTTTACTGTATGTAAGGATAAATCACAACTAAAAATATGCTTTAGAGAAAAGCTTCATTTCAATTTCATCTGGAGGGACATTTCTGAAGAATAACTGCTAGAGATGCATCAAGCCACCAGTCATTTGACTGGTGTCATCAAAAGGAGGTTTGTCTGACGGACCTCAAATTCTGATGCCATCAATTTATAATCCTAGCCTGCAGGACAGGTGGCCGTGTTTTGCATGGTCAATACTCAAAACTGACAGCGTACTTTATGTGTGCAGCGTGGAAAATTGCATTTTACACAATGCATGTTATTTTCTTTGCATGTAACAAATGTGTATTTCCTCTACAAAATTCAGTATTTTTTTCCCTTTAGAATGATATTTATTTGTGTGTTTAAGTATATGGTGTCAGGCATCTTTCTTTTCTTTCTGGGAGGGTTACACAAACAGCAGATGAAGTTTTGATAATCAGCCTCTAGAATTTTTAAAATAAAGCAATAAATTTAAAATAAAGCAATACATTTTCCAGTATCAACAAGTCATATCAAAACCTGGAGAAATGCTATTGTTAGCCTAGCGCTAAAGCAAGCTGATCATCATCAAAAGAAGAAAGATCTTATTTGGGTTGTATGTGTCAGGTCTGTTTATTTTAGTTGAAACTTTTTTAACCCACCATAGTGTTGGATTAGAAACCCCAGTTGGTACAAAAAAACATGCCATCAAAGGACAATGCAAAATCCACAAAGTTGCTGATGAGCAGGTTGTATTAGAAAGTTAGGACTCAAACATACACATACAATAGTTCTACTGACAAGGATAAAATAATCTTGAGTGGGCCATCTCCAGTTTTAAGTCATTTGAAACTAACTTAACAGACGTGATGTGCCGAAGCAGTTCAGATTGAGTTGATTTCACAAAGCGGAATGACAATATATAAATAATTTATAGCAAGGTTGTGTAAAAAAGGTCCAGAAATAGCAGTTCACCAAAGCATCGAGTTTCACTGTGCCTATGACCGAAGAGAGGATGTGCCATTTTGCCAAGCTGGGCGCCTTGTGCTCTATGAGGCACTACGTTTCATTCTGGTTTCTGGCACAAGTGGGCATTAGCAAATGGAAGCCGCAACGTTTTCACACCCACTTATACGTCCCTTCGAACGGCTGCAAGGACAGCCTTTATTGCAGTCCTCCACTCAAAATCCATTTTTGCTAAAGGGATTGGGGGGGGGTTGAGGTGCCACAACGAGAGTGCCTTTCCTGACATGCCATCGTTCAGACATCAAGCATCCTTAAGATGAAAATGTCCAATGAGAGGGGTGAAGAGGTGAAAAGGAGGGGAAGTGCAGAGAGAGGTGTTCTTATGTAGAAGTGCTTCAGAGGAAAGTGGTCCTGTGGTGAGAAGAAAAATATTTGGTTCTTTCTGTAGCTTCAGAGAGCCAAGATACTGGCTCTAAGCAAGTAAAAAAAAAAATCAGATGGGCTTGAGATGTGAGAAAATAATGGAAAGATGGTTGAAATCAGTTCCAGGCTGAGGTAAAACTACTCCTCTGCTTGGATGAAATGATCTGTAATGGCCCTAAAATCTCGACTGAGCTTTTTTGAATATGCACAAATGAGCCAGCTGGGATAATTTATCCCCCTTTTGGGCTAGCTGACCTGAAAAGTACGTGTTTCATATTACAACTTTATTGGCAGCATCTGAACACCTGCTCTGAAGCAGTCAGACCCAAAGAAAGTCAAACTGTATTAAAATGTGCCACTTTTGCCCCTTGAGACAGTAAAAATATGTATCTCCTTTCCTGGTAATACAGCGTGACAAAAAAGTTTGAACATTTTGTCACATTGCAACTCCAGTGCTTTTAATTGGGTTGTCATTTGATAAACCAACACAAAATAGTATGGAATTATGTAGCAGAATGACGTTTTAAATGGGTTTTTAAATCATTGATGGTTTGTAGGAGCATGCATCAATTTCATTAAAGCTTCACCTTTTCAGGATATGCTGTTAATTTTGCACATTTGCAGACGTTCTTTTTTGTGCAGTCAGATTGGCTGGAGATCAAAATGCTGATCTTGCCAAAAAGCCATCTTTTAAGATTCATGACTGGGTTTTTCGAACAAGAGAAAATTATTTTATCTAAACTGTTCTATTGTAGCTCTAGTTGCTGTATTGTCCTGCTGGAAGCCAAATCTCCATCCCTGCTCAAGAATCAGTTAAACACAGGTGGACTCTCGCTGCTAGCGTGGTGACTTCTAAGTGCAGCTTGTTGCACTGGATTTTATTTACGGGTATCAGAGTAAAGCGGAATCAATACAAATTGATGTCACACTTTTAAAACTTTTGTAGGAACAAAACTGAAAACAATCTTGTATTGTTTTATGCACTACTTTGTGTTGGCTTACCAGATAGAATCTCAGCATGATTGGAACGTGGCAAAATGTGAACGTCTTCGAAGCCGCAAAAACGCGGGTTTCGTCATCCTCTCCCCAGCTCGTGGTTTCCACACAACTGTGATTAATTTCATATTTTGCTCACCTCCTGCAATGCAGGTGTCTGCTATTCTGGGTGAGCATGACAAGCTGTAATGACCTGTACATCCCAGATGCAGACAGGCACGACATATGCCACTGAAGTGTTGAGCCTGTATTCCTGCCTCCAGATTTTCACAGCGTGGCGTCTCCAGAGAGACTGATGTCAGTATTGACCCTGTCTGTTCAGAGCACCTGTCCACGGCCTCTTGTACAAAACACTCCCTTGTTCAGTGTCAATTTCCAAGAAAGGGTAATGAAGAGAAATATTTGGTTTTGTTCCCTTGAAGAAAGCAATCAGTGGCATTCAGACCAATTTTCCAAGATGCACATTCAGTTTTTTTTTTGTTCACACAACACTTGATCTGGAATACTTACCAGGTGTCTGGAAGTTAAGACGCCGGAGCTCAACTGGATCTGTGGGATGATGAAGAGGCATTTCTTTGCTGTTTGGAAGGCTGCCTTTTCTGGCTTCGTTTTCTGCTCTTTTTCTGCAGGATACAAAACAAATTCAAATTATCTCAGCCAAGAAAACAGATGCTTTTTTCCCCCCTCTATTGTTGTATACCCTGAAAATGCACCTTGTTGTCCCATGAATAATGAGGGGAAATATGTAATTAAGGAGCTGACAGGACTACATTCTCTCGGCATGCAGGACTACAGGGGATAGTCTGAGTAACATCTCTTCATTGTATAATGGCTTGCAGTACAATAGCTTCTAGCTGGTTAATTCCAGCCTTAGTGAAGCTTAATGTTCATGTTTCAGTGATAGTGTCAGGTCATGCATTCAGCTTTTAAGAAAATTGGAAGCTTTGTTGGGGCCAGGATTTATATGCATTACACTGAAACCAGAGTTTGTTAATGTACATACGCTTATTTATATAGCATGGTGCAAAACCAGTCCTTATTTCTTATGCATAGCCTGCATAGCATCCTTTATTTTTAATCATTTAAAGTAGTCTTTAATACTACGGTAAGCTTCCTGAAGAACTACACTAGTCTTTATTTGAACTTCAACTTTCTCATTCATTTTCAGCATAAAATACATAATTTGCTTTTAAACAAAGAAAGTGGACAAGGAGTACAAAAGAATGTCATTTGGAAAAAAAAGTAACAACAGGAGATAAAGACATTACAAAAACTCATCGTCCTTTAGTTGATCTACTGTACAGGTTTTCAGCCAACTGCTCTTTGAGGATTATTCTTTTTGTGCTTAGGCGTAATGATTTAATGTCAATTCAGGGAAACTCTTGCATTTAAGCTTTAAAAGTGTATTTTAAAAAAGCCAAGTTATGATCTTATATTTTCTGCTTTCTTTGCTTCTCTAAATCTGGTCTTATGTTTAAAATGAGACCAGATTCTACATAAGTCTCTCTTTGCCTTTTGTCATTGCAGCCTTTAAGTTGATATTAAAGCCTTTAATATTCAGTTTTTATCATTGTTTCTGATGTAATCTCAGATTAAATATAAGAATCCTGGACGAGCCTCGGTAAGAGGCAAAGTACATCGCGATACAACCTTCTAGCTGAAAGGCAAGAATGCTAACAAGTGCACAACTATGGCCAATGTACACTAAGCTTAATCAGCTATATGAGGTACTGCAATAATTGTTTTCAGTTTGAGTGCTTTTGAGGACATTCAAGTGTAATTGTCTTTCTGGGTTTTCAATGGTATGTTTTTCATATTTGACAAAAGAAACTGCAACAAATTATATACCAACTGTCCCAAAAAAATTTTTTTTGACAAATTATATTACATGTCATCACCACATTATCTTCTACTTATCTCAATGAATAGTTCAGACTAAAGTAGTTTAGCAAACAAGAAAAAAAAATTCTCCTAAAATCCTAATAGTAAAACTTGCCAATATCTTAGCAGAACTATAAAAAAACAATCCTTCAAAGGGATAAAGAATTATTCCTAAAGTTGACAAGAAAACTCAAATGTTCTAGAAGTGGTTTATAAAGAAACGAGGGAAGAAACAAGATTGTCGAACCAAAGGTAATATGTGGAATGTTAAATAACACATCTGAGATGTGTTATCTTTGGTGTAAGTACAGACCAGTTACTGGTATAAAGACGTTCCAGGGTTTTAAAATGTTAAGTTTAGAAATAGCTAAACCAATGTCATCAAACCATTCAAACAGTCTTCCACCATCTTTTTATGCAACAAAACCTGTCAGAGCAACAGACATTTCTCCAGTTCTTCCAAGTACTGTATATTGCAGCAATGTCCCAATTCACCAGTTGTTGCCTGCACACTGCTGGTCAGCTCACTCAATGAAGGCTCCAACATGCTTCCATCAATAACAAGAAAGTAAAATTTACCTTGGTTTTAATTTTTCTGGTTTTAAAAAAATTAACAATCATGGTGCCAAAACTAAATAAGTAGCATCTAACATTTGTATTAATCTAAAAACATTTTGAAACTATACTTGGCAAAGTACATGTCTGTTAAGCAGCTGACTGAAAGTCCCTGCTGGAGCAGATAGCCTGCATAATTAACCTGCCAACATAAGTCTACGTATTAGTATGACAGTAACTAATAAATATCATGGCTAAGATTCTTCTTGTAATAACTTTCATATTACTGGATTATCTTAGCAGTAGCATAAATAATTGTTGCTGTCCTCTTTTACATGCAAGTATTTAAGATGATATTCCACATTTTTTATTTAAATGTTTGTGTAAACAACATGAAACTGTTTTTGCTCAAAACCATCTAGTGATAATCTCATCCCTGCCAATGCCCAATTATGCACGCGTTCCTGTTTCTGTTTTTAAATAAAATAACAAAAACAAACGCTCTTACATGTGCAACATGCCTCTCTTGCAGGGGAAAGATGTGTTCATTAGCGACATGCAAAAGAACAGAACTGACCAAGAAGTACTAGGTTGTTTTTTTTGTTTTTGTTAATTTCTTTGGCACTCTTACCTGTCTGGTTTGCTGCTCCATTGGTCAGCAAAAAAAGAAAAAAAAGAAATGGCAACACAACGTTAGGGAACGAGACCTTTAAGTTTAAATATTACTGAGACTTCCAGAAACTAAATCAAAAGCAGCAAGACAAAAATGAATCCATCTCGCCTGACTTTTTTTGCTTTGTGTGCAAGATTAGTGATGCTTCACTTCGGGGGATTATGCTCAATTATGCAGCCTTGAGGTTCTTTGTTTCAAACACTACAGATTCCCAGGTGCAGCCAAGATTCGTACAATGTATCTCAGCTATTTCAAGCAGTTTCAGCTGATTGCTTCTTGTTCAAGCATAAAAGTCATCTCTTGACTGCTAATTGGCATGTCTGTCTGTTCCTGTACTCCACTGTTTCATGCATTTATAAATCTCAGAAACGATGCACACTACAGATTCATGCATCTGGTATTTTATATGAAACGACATGTGGGATAGTTGAGTTTAATGAAATGTGTGTGATGGGGCACACGATTGTGGTGGGATTTTTTTTCATTTGAAACAAAATCCATCAGTCTTATTGCCACGATTGTATTTGGAGGTGTACAATTTACTTTTATGTCCAGGTTCTGTTGCTGCATGAAAGTCGTACTCTGGCCCATAAGTATTGATCTTCAAGAGAAATATCACCTAGTTCTCGTGCTAAATGCCCCCTTGCCTGTCAATAGCTAGTCTGGTAATCAATGTTTAAATCTTCAAGACTTTTACAGATGCTAAAGAAAATAAATCATAATTAATAAAAAAAAATCTCTTTTTTTTAATTGAGTTGAAAAAAAAAGAAACACGTTTTGTAGTTTTAATATAGAGAAATATGTCAGTTTTTTTTTGCTAATTTTGATGCTAGTGACAATCCAGAAAAGGAGAATATGGCAAAGGACTATTTACAACAGATTTTTATTAGACATACTGTGCTGTTACTATGTTAAGAAAAAAAATAAATTCTCCACAAGTCATAGCTTGAGGGCTCCCATGAAAATATGCTTAGGCGTAGATATTTGACTGAATGAGCTGCTGGTTATGTAGAAGGCCAGAGGAGACGGATGAGGAAGTGAACGACGCAGGAGCGTAAATGTGTGCAGGTGCATGTTTAAAGGCTGTGTGTGTCCTGGCAGAACAGGGGGAGAAGGGAGCATAAGGTCAAAAATGAGAATCTGTAGCTCAGGTTCCCCAGCTGGATGGGTAGCGGTGAAAGGTGTGGGGAGAGGAGGGGGGGAAGTTAGGATGGCTGGGAAGCGAGCCCACACCCCGGGGTCCTTCTGAAAGCTTCACACACATGCAGTGACAGGCAGCAGATAGTCAAAGCTCTTCCCTCCTACGCTTGACTGATGAGCAGTGACATTACGGGCTCAGAATATCACTAGGGGGTTCCAGTTAAAAGAAGAAAAAAAAACAAAAAACGGGGGGGAAGCGGATATTTTCATTCAGTGGGAAGAGCATTACAGCAGCGTTTGCTACAGTTTAAAGAGAGTTCCTGAGTGTGTGTGGAGGGAGGCGTGTGATTAACTTTCAGTCAGCAGACGTGTCTGTTTGAAGGACTGTGGGCGCCTGAGCTTTGATGGCTTGACAGTTCGGGTAGATGCATGTTTGGAATTACTCATGTTAGAATTAATGTGAATTACTGAGAAGGAAGGTCACACTTAGTCCAAGGATCGATGAGCCTCAGGCTTAAAGGTAAAAATTTAATTTTCTACATCTGAACACTGGAATTTGTTTCACCGTTTCAGTTTATTCAGCACAACATTATACTCATGCAGCATCCTTTATAATTATTAGCCACCCTGGTGAAGATGTAAAAAAGCCTTGAAATAATTATTATATTGCAGTAGAAACAGCTGACAAAAAACAAACTTCATAAAACAATATTCTTCTATTTTCTAAACTATATTATTCTAGTAAATTGATCAGTGTCTACCTCATGGACTCATTTTTGATTCCCCTGTGTACAAATATGATGTGATATATCAGCCTATTTTTTTATAAACTCTTCAAAGTGGGAACAAGAAGAAAACAGCATTTTTAGAAAAGCAGACAGGAAAATGGCTGCAAGAAAATAGCTGCTTGCTAAAACTTGGTCAAATTTACAGTAAGAGTTATAAATACTCAAAACAATTAGAAATGTGACTGACAAGGCTGGATGACGACCCATCTTTATCTTGCCACAAGTTGGTCGCTGACACTTTTTGGCAGTGACAACAACTCTGTCAAAACTGCTCTCCTCAATCCACTTGACCATAAAACGGGTCCCGAACCGCACCAACCAAAGCCGTACCGCTCAGAGGAAAAGAGGCATTGGGATTCAACAGGTTTCCAGAACAACCATTAGCCAAGCCAACTAATGTAAACAGGGTTACTACTTTACTTCAAAATACCATACCGTACCTTTTCTTTATTTTTATTATTCTTTATAAGAAGACATAGAAGCTAATGAAAACAGTTAAATGGCTGATACTTTAAATTTTAAATGGATGGGAGAAAAATTCATGATTTGATGTAGAGATCTCCCCCCCAAAAAGGACACAACATAAATAATAGTGTATAAAAGACTCACATTTTAAGAATCTGAGTTTTTTATTTTCAAAGTTTTTATCATAAAATAAAGCTTGTTCTTTCGTCAGACAAGATTGAAACTATGCTTTTTAACAACAAACGTCTATTGTTTGAAACAAATGTTGCAGACAAAAGAAAAGCACCTCATGATACGTGATGCAGAACACGTTAAGCGTTTCTGTCGGTGACAGATTGTTGTGAGTTTCTAATGTGCTGCAATTTCCTCACCTTTTATAAAGAAGGATGGCGATTACGATGCATATGATGAAGACAACTGCCAGCACGGGTCCCACCACCCAGATGAGACCTTCCTCCTCGTCCATGATTGGCTGGGGATTGAGGTCTGCTGAAACAACTGGGTCTGAGTACGGGCTGGTGGCATACATGATCTGAGAAGGAAAAATCAAAACTTTGGTCCAGATCAAGAAGAAAGCAGGTGAAGTTTTTGCTGTTTTAATACCCGTCTGATCTTTTGCTCCACGTGTTACCGATCTATCGCCTCTATTTGCAATGCAGTTCAGTAATTTCGCTTTTTGCACAGCTGCTGTTTGACCAACTACAATTATCCAAGTATCTTTCTTCTCAAGGAAAGAGCTGATTGAACCATTTCATATTCAAACCAGAGATAAAAAGATGGTCTCCAGGGAAGAAAGAATATGTGTTAGTGGGGAAATTAGAAATTTGCGTCTGTCCGTCATTATCTACCTGAACTCGGGGTTAGTGAAGAGAGTACGAGGTAGAGTTTTAAAGCCCGGAGCTCATCAAATCCATCATCTTGTCTATCGTGCTGCTTTCTGCTCTTTCGTCCGCACTGACACACACACATTGACACACTGGCTGCAGCAGTGGAGATAAGGTGGACCACACGTAGGATGCAATTAAAGAGGAGCTCTGTTATCGAAGTGTTCCTGAGATCGGCGAAGGTCTTCAGGGGGTTTCTCTCTCTAAAGCGTCCAGGGTCAGCTCTTTGGACCGGTTCCCACTGCTGCTTTAAATTTTCATGGCGAAGCTGCACAAGCCCTCAGAGTAACAAACGACCAGAGGAAGACTGCGACCTTTGGCCGAGATTAAGTGGATTTGACCCTTTCTTAACGGTCTTCATTGCTAAATAAGAAATCAGGAGGAGAAACTGAGCTTTCGGATCACAGTGCCTTGAAAAAATATTCACATCCAACCTTTCAGCATTATTTTTTTTCCAACCACAAACTTAAATGCATGTTTGAGATCTCAAATGATTCACCAACACAAAGATTAAAACTATTAAAACCATTTGCTGATTGCAAATTACATCAAGATTTGGGGTGGTACAGGGACAATGTGAAACCGTTTGCATTTCTTTGTCTATAGAAATACTGTTACTTGAATATAAAGGACAAAAAAACTGTTGGCAAAGCAAACATACATTGTCAGACATCTCCAGCACGGCGAGCACGAAGAAGATGTACTCCTGGCCGTTCTGGAGTTGTTTGTTTTCAAAGTCGTCGTAGATCTTGCCATCTCCCAGGGTGAACTCTTTGGGCAGATCTTTGAAGTATGCAGCAATGTAAGCTTTGGGCTCGACGTGCCTCTGGAAGCGAAGGCCTCTGCTCGTTCGGTTTATCTCTTTCAGTAGCTTTGGTGAAAAGAGAAAAGAAATAAAAAACAGCTGATAACACGGGACACGTTCCAGCCGCACGCACACAAAAACAAACCCCGCTCTCACTGAATCTGACAATCTCTTTTGATTGCTGAGCTGAAAATGCTGATTGCAAAAAAGGCAGAACATGAGAAGAAAGATCAATAACTTTTTTCTTATTTCAACTGCTTTTATTTTATAACGACAAAAGATTGAGAGATTAAAAGATTGTGTGAATTTCTGTCATTTAAAGCAGCTGAGGATTATCCAGCAGCTTCATACAGAGAGAAACAGACTGAATTAATTCATAACTTACATCGCTCTGTTGATACAATCAAAAGCTTTTTTCTGCTTAAATGCATCGACAAGTAAAATCTGGGGAGAACTTAGCGACGTTTGATAAGTGTACTGTAATTTATGTTCCACTCATTTTCTGCAGAAAATTAATCTAACACAAATAAAAAGAAGAAAAGTTACTCATGCTGCAAACAAAATGGATTCAGACTTTGAATTTGTGGGTTTTGACATCGATCTGTTTTTACTCCATAACTGCTATTTGGGTAAATTATTTTACCACCTTTCTTTCCCAGCCACAAGTGATAATGATCCTACGAGCTGAAAGGAAAGCAGTGCCCTTCATGCAAGCCGGTGTCGTCAAATTCAAATTTCCTCTTACAAAGCGTGGATGATAATTATGCTAATCGCGCCTGGTTACCCATTTCTCTGTCTGAATGCATATATCCAACTTGTGTGAATGGCAGTGTGTGTGTGTGTGTGTGTGTGTGTGTGTGTGTGTGTGTGTGTGTGCGTGTGTGTGTGTGTGTGTGTGTGTGTGTGTGGGGCTGCCATTCACATTACAGAGTGTGTGTCCTCGGCCGTTGTGTGCTTTGTTTTGGCTGCGGGGGTGTTGGTGCTGCCCGATAATGTCTTCAATCATCTCTCCTGTCAACACGGCTAAATCTAGTTGCCCTTGGGAAAAGTTGTGAAAAGGTGAGTGCCAATATTGACAAACAAATAAATTCTGACAGAGAGGGTGACTTTTGGGGCCATCGGTCAAGGCTTCAGACACGGGCCTCTGGGCATGAGCCGTAACGGCTTCGCTGGATGAGACCCCTTGTGTTTTCTTTTATTCATCTGTACATATGATATAATGTGATATTTATACCAATAAAATCAGAAGTGCCACTGCCTTTGCCAGACTCTGAAATAGCTGTGCAGCGAAAGGGAACTATCTTTTTGTAGTTAAAAAAGGCTAAATGACATCACAGTTCAAGCTGGAAACTGGATAAAAACAATTAAATGTATGATTCTTAACCAAGCTTTTAATTGCCTTTCAAAATGAATACAAAATAAACATTTGGGGCTGTGGCACTCTAAAACCAAAAGGTACCACCAAATGTTGATTGATGACATAACTTCAGAGAGCAACTCTCTTTTATTTTAGACAGAGGACAGATTAATTTATCAATTTATAGAAGGTATCAACAAAAAATACCTTCTAAAGGCAACACAGAAATGAATCGAGAGAGAACATTTACTAAAGATTCTCAAAGCTTTGCAAAAGTAAATTGGGACCCACCAACAAGAGTCTTATTTGTAAACAATTTTCTTCAAACATTATGCAAAAACTTTTGGCTTCAATTATAATTAACTCAGCTCTTCAAACTAAAATACTTTACAAGGTTTTTTTTGTTGTTGAGCCAAATAAATGATCAATTGTTGTGTTGATGCCCATTATCTTGAAGTGACCACTGTGTGTGAACGTAGACTTGGTGTTCTGGTGAAACAATCGTTCATTGGAATGAGGGTGTTGACAGCTTTAGAGTCCAGTTGGTCAGAACCGGAGCAGAAATTAAAACATTTAACCTAAATGTTGCCAAAATTATGGATTTTGAATTGCAGTTTTCGTCACAAGCACTTACTGGCCACTATTGCGAGTCAACAGCAGACACAGCTCACCACAGAGGGTTCATAAATCACTGGGTGGTGTGTCATTATTTATTTATTTAAGTTTATTTGCTCGGTACAGACACACATTGACACAGACAAACTGAAAAAATCATCATTCTGCACTATGATAGGTCTAGTGCAAAATGATGGGCTTTCATTTTGTTAGGTCTGCAAGGTATTGGTTATGTTATACAATGAACCATTTGAAATATCTTTATTCTTTGGCCACTTTCACAAATGTGCTCAGCAGCCTTATGCAATTTTTCTCCTCTTCAAACATGGAATCTAACTTCTGTGTGATTCAAGTCTGAAAACAAATGAAAAGTACACTTAAAAAAGTAATGCTCATAAATTTGATTCTTTTAACACGCAAGATCCAAACTTTAATTCTAAATCTGTATTTATAAAAGCCATGATTTTGATATTAACACTGTTGCACACCTCGATGCTTCAAAATTACCCAACTTTGTGCATGTAGTTCTAAATATAAACGTCAAGAGGCTTGTGCGCTAGTTTGCCTGAAACGCAAAGAGACGCTAAGGCCTGATGCAGCTCTTCAGGTAATTACTGCAAATACAAAGAGGAGGAGGAGAAGGTGGAGATGGGATGGCAGTTTGCAGTCCAATTGATGGCTACTTCATGTTCTCATTTCCATATGAACAGTGCTCTCTGGAGCTATTTGCGTCAATCAGAAAGACTCATCGCCTGTCTCTCCTGCCCCCTTACCTGTCTCAACTGACTTTTTCCTGCTTTGAGAAATTAAATATGTGCTGGTTGCACATAACTTTGCAGACTGAGTTATGAAGTGAGTCTTGACAGAATACTGCAAACAGAATGTGAATTGTGCCAGTATTTGAATAATGTCCTTCAATCCAGTGATACAAGACGATCTGGAACATACCTCTTCCAGATTCATCTCATCTGGACTGTCCCAGGGACTGTAAAACTTCCCAGTGCGTTGCTTCTTCAGAGGTACGACCACAATATAGTAACCCCTGGAAAATACACAGAAAAAATGTGATTCTGTGGTTCTGTGTGTGGGTTAGCATGCTCAGAATACTGTGTGATCACTTCTTACTCAGATCCTCAGTGCATTAAGTCAAAAAAGATACAGAATTAAAGCATCCTCATCCCATCATCAAGGTGGGAACATAACTGCCAAACTTGAGATTTTCTGGTGGAGCATTTCACCAGCTAACATTGGCCAGAATGACAGTGCAGCAGCCTAATACAAAATTAATTAGCTTAAGCTGTATTATGGAAGCCAGTGGGCCAAGTGAAACCAGCAGCATAAAAAAACAAACAAAAAACAAAAAACCAAAAAAAGGATGAGTTAGAAGTCATCATGTGCAATGTAATGTGCTCCCTAGCCTTCTGACAATCCTTGGCTTTGTTGAAAGGCTGTAAGAGACTTTACTGGGCTTAGGGGAGTGCACTCAAATGAGTCGGCCTGCTTTAGTATGTAATGATTGAGGTGAAGAGGATATTAGTCTCAAAAGCAGAGAGGAGTAAAAATAGTTTAGGGGGAAAATCCTCATTACTGACAAGGTGTTGTGCATAATTGGTTAGTAAGAGAAGACCCTTACTAATACAGGTGCGCCAACATTGTTTAAAAATGTATGATTTCAAACAAGGTAAAGTCTTCCTGAAACCACTTAACCTGTGGTTTTGCATATTTTTAGATGCCAGAGACCCTACTTGGGATATTGTCTGGCATCTATGTGGCTGCACACTGTCTTTTAGTTGACTGAAAGAAGGAAACATTGTCTGATTGGAAATATTTTCAGTGGTGTTATAATTTGTCAAACAAGGTAACTGGTGGTTATCAGCAAGATGCAAGTAAACCTCCTTACTGTAGCTAGCATACAAATACCTTAAAAAATAGCTACATATCACTCCAAACTGGAATTGTTCCAGCTTACCTTACTCTTTCAGAAGTTTGGACTGATGGGAGCTCTACGGTCACCATCCCGTCTGAATTTGTTTTGCCAATCATGTAGGGCTTGGTGCGAAGGACATCTGGAGCCGTCATAGTGGACACGCGATGCTGAAGACCTCCAGCGCTGTTCCCACGGTTGGTCAACAGGAAGGAGTACTGTGTCTCTGGTTGAAGACCCGTGATAAGCTTCTGTGTTAGCTTTCCATCCACCTCCACGCTCTGCCCATTATCGTAGAGGATCTGTGTGGGGAGAAAGAAATGTTTCATTTAGATGTTGTAGGAATGTGTCGTGCGTTGTTCATTTGTTGGGGTTATAAGCCGTGTGTATGGTGAGCGAACACTCACAGTGAAAGGTTGTGCGGGGTTGTAGGTGTCTGGAATTTCCCACGTCAGCAACACTGACGACTTCATAGCAGCTCTCACGTGGAAATTTTTTGCAAACACTGCTAAAAGAAAGGGGGAGCAGATGATTTAGACACAAAACATCCTTTCTGTCCGTCTTCCTTTGACCTCACACATCAGTGCTTACCTGGAAACGTCTCCTTCAAAACCAGGTTGAAACCAGTACTATGTTGAACTGAAAACTGTCCTCTTACCTTCTTACCAACACCACGTTTATACAGTAATGACTGACCTTTACTTAATTGACAAAACACAAAGAGACACACATACTTACTCCATGGGAGGTCTTAAATTATGGGATAACAAAAAAACTAATGATAGGGGAATATGTTAATACCAGAGTCTTCTGGTTGTGTCAGCTTTAGCATTTTGAGACATTAGGATGGAAGTTGTTGCTGAACAGGTCTGAGCAGGAAAAGGTTGATTTTAAGAGGAAAAACGGGCTAAGAAGTTCAGTGTCTGGTCCTACCTTGATCCACAGGCTGTGTTCTGAATTGGACACTTGGGCTATAAGGACCAGAGCCCTTGCTGGTGAAGGCACACATTTTAATATCATAAGTAGTGTCTGCCCTGAGCCCATCCAGGAGGACGGTTGATTCCGGGGCAGTGATGAAGAGTTCTGATGGACTCCGAGGGCTGTTGATGTCTTTGTACTGCAGAGCATATTTCACTATTTGGCCATTTCGCTCTGCCAGGAGAACAGACTGCCAGCTGACCTGAACTGTGGAGGTGCTGGCTCCCTCTGCTTTAATGTTCTGCGGGTAACCGCTCGGTACTTCTTCGTTTGTGATGACCTCTTTGACCGTCTCCTCCCCAAAGCCCACCTTGTTGCGCGCTGAAAGGCGGAAGGTGTATGTGGCTCCCTTGTGGATCTCTTTGGTGGTGTAGTGGTTCTCTCGCTCAGGAAACTCAATGACAGTCAGTGGGTCAACGTCTTTGCGGCCAAAGCGAAGGCGGTAGCCCTGCAGGGGGCCGTGGGTTATTGCTGGGGGGTGCCACTGGAGAAGAGCTGTTCCCATGTTTGTTGTACTGACCATGAGGCGAGGTTTCTCGGGAACTATTGGTGGGAATAGAGAAAAGGTTTTTAGAAATATAAAGGGCGGTGTTTTCTTCATTCATCAGAGCATGGGCCACTATCAAGGTTATTCAAGGGTTTTTAAAAAAATAAAGGCTTCAAAGTACCTTAACCTTTCTGTGTCGAGATGCATTCCGACCAGGAGTCTTGAGGATTTTTTTCTCAAGACTAATTTTCCTTTCATTATTCTGGCAGGTTTTGATGAGCATTTTTACTGTGGTCTACCAAGGTCTGAGACTGGGAGACTGACACACCCATTGTGAAAATAAAAGCTGGGATTCTTCGCAAGAACACTTAACCAATGACTCTGTCACAATGACACTTTATAACTTATGTAGAGTTTATAACTTATGTAGAGTCACTAAAAAATCTATTAAGAAGGAAAAGGATTTTGCTGATGTAGACGTCTGTCTTCTACCCCTAGACTGCCTTGGGTTAAACCCTGTTGTTCTACCCATAAACATGTTCACAGCATGTACATTGTAAAGCTGAATTATAATCACATCTAAGCTGTGTCTCTTATTAATGTGGTAAGGCTCTCATTGACTTCAGTTTGTTTTTATTTGTTTATTCATTTGTTTGTTTGCCTATTTGCAGTGCTGCTCCTCTCCCAAATGCCACCGCACACTGCTGATCAGCAGGGGTGTAGTAGGCGACTGCATTTTTTTCCCACTTACAAGACAAAATATAATACTTCTGTCGACAACAAATCCAATCTGACAGAGAGGAGAAAACTGGTTGAAAATTTAAAGGTGGCACTCATTCAAATGCTACAGCAGAGAGTTGAAAGTACTTGAATAATGTCACAAATTTTCGTTTGTGAGAATGCTATTAGAACCTAATTGATGACAAAAGAGGACTACTTTTGTTTCTGTTATTTGAATTGCTCATAGCTTTACGCTGTCACAGAAGATGGAAAGAGACTGACTTCCAGTGTTCATCTTTATCAGTGATGATTGGATTACCTGCGCCAGTGGTGGTGATCAGTTTGGGTTTGCTGCGTGCACCGTCTCCCTTTGTTGTGTAGGCTGCCACTGTGACTGAGTACGTGGTTTCGGCCTGCAGCTCAGTGATGATCATTTCCTGAAAACATGCAAGAGTTTAAGGTGCTGAACTCTGCACCTTGAACAGAGTTCATCTCTGCACACATAGGTGAGAAGAGATGCTTCATATCCTTTGTAGCTAAAGCATAAATATGATTACAATTAATTAAAATCCTACTACAACCAAACTTCATTTTAGGTAAATCTAATTCATAATATTTGGTTTGGTGTCAGTTTAACAAGTCTTGGGTTACGTTCACACAACAGGTCTTGATCCTCAGTTCAAATCTTTTGCTAAAGTCTGATGGTTTTTGAGTTGTTCATACTGCTAAATAAATGCAAATGCAATAAGGCTTCTGTGTGAACGACGTATGACCCCAAAGCGACCTGCATGTGCAGAAGAAGAACGTAGACGTCACAAAGCAGCAAACTGTTTCCAGAAGTAACAATGGATGCTGCCGTCTATGGATTGATTTTAAAATTGCTAAGCAATGGGAGCCTACAGTATGGTTACAAGAGAATAAAACAAAGGAAGCCAAGAAAAAAAGAATGACAAGTGTCGGCACTACTGTTGAGTCAAAAAAAATAAAAGTTTGGTAAAATGCTAGATGACTGTTCAGACTCCAGAATTTGAAAACTTCTGTACATTTATCTGATATAGTGCCATATATGATTTTTATAGGAAGCAGGTTTTTCAGACCGCCTTGAAAAAGCAGTTTATGGTTAGCATTCTCCTGCTATGTGAACGTAATAAATAATAATAAAGTCTAATGCAGCTACTCACATGTTCAGTTGTATCATCGTAGTCCCACTGAGTGATGTCGAAGAGCAGACAGAACAGAGACAACAAGTGAGCAAAGGTACAACAGTGCAAAGAAAGTATTAACACCCATTTTATCTGTAAGCACAAGCACCAAATGTTTGTTGGTAAGAATATTTGTAGCAAAAGTGAACAATAAGCCAACACATGAATGTCTACAGACAAATGCTTTGTGTTTGTCAACTGAAATAAGATCTGAGAAGTTTAACAACTTAACACTCATTGCTTGGCAAAAGTACTTATAACTTAAAAGATTTTATTGGGATCTTAAGTGAAAGGCTGACACAAAGTACTCCATCACTGTGAAAAGTAAAAGGATGGACTAGTGGTTTTCAAATTTTTTAACAAAAAGATCTGCAAAGGTGTGGGATGGATTTCGATTTTGTCTTCTTTACATTGACACCACAAAATAAAGTCCATTGCAGCCAATTGCCTGCAGAAGTGACTTAATTAGGAGTGAGAGTACTTTCAACTTGCCTGTCACTTTCCTGCTGGTATATCTGAATTTCCCCATTGAGGGACAATAAAGGTAATGTCTATTCAATCTGTGTGGAGCTTTATCGCAATAGGAAGCCAGCTGTTGTGTGGAGGCCTTCGGCAGGAAACACTGCTGCCCACAGTAGAAGAAGAAACTCTGGTCAGAGGTAGAGCAACTACCTCATACAACCATGCTTCATTTTCCTGACACTTCACAATTATGTCATATAAAATCCCAACAAAATACAGACTGTAGTAGTAATATGATAAAAGTATTTTTGCTAATGCAAAAGCTTTACATCATCCCTAATTTCTTTACACTCAACCTCCAACAAGCTAGAGGTCGAAGTGCAAACACTTCTTCGAAACAAATTGTAGCAAAATGAGAGAAGACTCAAGACTTTTGCACACAGTAAAGGGCATTGCCATTTTCCATTTGAAGGTGAGGAGGTGAATGAGACAAAGCAGTACTACATGTCTGAGGAATGAGGCGGCAGGTTGTGTGTCTGGTTGCGTTGATGGTGGGTGTTGTTGTACCTGAGCATCATCAATCAGGATGTCCTTGATGACTGGCTGTCCTGTGGGCTCCCCATTAACCATCCTGACATAGTGCACCTGGTATCCTCGGATCTGACCGTGCTGCTTGGTGGGCACCGGCGAGCGCCAAATCACTTTAATTGATGAAGAGTTGACAGCCTCCACCTCGACTTTACGAGGTGGCCCACTAGGAACTGGAGGAACACCATGGGATAAAAGAAATAAGGTCAAAATTATAGAGAACCCCCCCAATCTTTGCTTCACCCTCTTAAGCTTCGCCCCCAAAAAATGTTGCAGTGACCAAAAACAAAAAAAAAACAAAAATGCACAAAAGTGCAGAAAACCGCAACAAGCACTGCATGACAGAGTTATTTCAACAATGGTAAGGAGAGAGGGGAAAAAAACAACAGCAAAAAGCAGGTCCAACAACTGACCTAATCTTGTAAAACCATTAAAACCGAGTCGGGTGAATTGTAAAAAATATGGCGTAAAAAATGGGTTTTGTCAAAATAGAAAAGTGGAGCCAAAAGAGACTTCAAGAGTTTCATATTCTTGAAGTGCAAGAAGAGTTTTGGCTGTGATGTAAGGAAAAAAAATTAAAACAAAAAAATGATTTATTATCACATGAGCTGACAAAAATACTAAAAATGGCCTTTAAAAAAGAAAAATCTTCCACATTTTGTTTTTCCCACTGTCATGATTTTAAAAAATTCGAGATCTAAAAAGAGCAAAAAAAGTTACAAAAATAGACAGTTGGGACTGGAAGTTTAGAGGCCCGGAGGAGTGAAAAAGCCATACCATGTGTTGAAATTAAGCAGCGTGAAGGGTAGAAAAAGCCAAAAAAAGGTGCTTGTGAGAGTCAGTTTGGTTAAAAAATGATTTTCCAGAACAGAGCAGACAGTACTGAGTGGTCACAGTCATTTCAGAAGCAGGCAGAGGGGGTAGAGAAGAGGTAGCAGCCGACAGAGGCTGTTAGTATCTGGGGGGGTTGGTTAGGTAGGAAAAGCAGGCTGGATTTTCAGCTGGAGCTTTTTTTTATTATTTTTTTATTTTTAGCAAACACATACCATCCTCCTCTGTTCGAATAAGCTGCGGCAGGCTCTCAGGTCCTGCTCCGACATCTGTGTGGGCAGTGACCGTCACACGGTACTCAGTCCATTTTTCCAGGTTCTCCAAAAGATATTTGGTGCTCTCCGGAGGGATGCCAGAGATTCGGTGACCGGTTGTGTCCTCCCCTTCAGTGGCGGTGTAGTGAATGGCGTACTGCGTCAAGATCCCGTTTTGTAGCTCCACAGCTGGCGGACGCCAACTTACCAGGATACTGGTTGAGCTGGGGCTGTGGCACTTTACATCCTGAGGTGGGCCGGTGGGTTCTGGACGGCGAAGTGATTTGGTAGGAGATCCGTTTTGTTGCGATTTGGTTTAGATTTGTTGGTTGAGGCCATTCATTTTGTTGGATTTGTTGTTTTTTGTTTTTAAAGGAGGTTCAGTTGTTTATTTTTTCATTTTGATGAGGTTGATGATGGAAGAATTGAAAGAAAAAGAAAAAGGAAAATAAAATGATGACATGAAAAAAAGCACGAGGACTTTGATGAATATTGAACACAAACTTTAAAACAGAAATAATAAGAAACAAATGTAGAAATAAATACATGTTTTTAAGTTGACAATGAAAGGAACAATGATTGGAAAAAGGAGAGCTGTACCAGGAGTCACCTACCTTTGCCATGAAAAAATATAAATTCATATGAAAGTAAAATGAAAACTTCTTTCCCATTGATGTCACAAACAGTTAGAGATAGACAATTTCAAATGTTACATTTTGCAAGCAGTTACCATCAATCCAAAAACATAAAGGTTGATGCTGAGGTTAATTTAAAAAAGGGGGAAAAAATGTGGTATTTGTCACCAACCTTTCCGAAGCCTGTTGGTTTGTGGTAAAAGCCTGACTGTACAACAGAGAGCTTTGCAAGGAGATATGACTGATTCATTACATTCTGATAACATTGGCATGCATGAGTTTCTCTTCTTTAATATCTTCGCAGGATTTAAATTTCTGAGTGTCTATACCCACCTGATTACCTGCCTCTGACTGTCGGACCTCTCAGATTTATGCTGAAAGTCCCAACTCAAAAAAACAAAACTGAAACGGATCGGTTTGATTTTTCTATTCTGTGAACTGATATGAAGAGCTGGATACTTTTGGAGAAAGCAGCAGAACACAAACGTCTATTTTTGTCTGTGTTTCAACATAAATCTGAGGTTTTTAGGAGGTGGGAATGTCTCTAACTAGAGTGTTGCTTTGAGCTTTCTCTGCTGATGCAACTCAGAAATTCTCTGTTAAATTTAAATGGAAAATTAAAAAACAAGCAAGTTTGAGGTTTAACTTTTTGTCTTTAAACATGTGGCTGCACAGAAAGCTCAAACTAAACCTTTATTCTCCTGGTTTTGGCTGCCAGGCAGCTTCAGGAGACATGGTTTCCAAAGCTCCATTTCACTCTGTTTTATTATTATAAAACTCACACATATGTGGATGTTAACATAAATAATTCAGGAACTTGAGCATTCATTTTACTCAAAACTGTTTTGTGCACAACAAAGCAGAGGAGCAGGAGCTTTTGTAAACCATTTTAGTGACTGTACAGTTTTTTTTTCAATCTACAAACTTTGATTTAAACATTTTTCAAATGCATCAAACATTAATAGGTAAAAAAGAAAAAGAAAAGGCAAACCAAAAGGCATAACTGACATCTCCGCCCTTTTGAGATGTTTGGACTTCAAAGAAAAATGCATTTGAAACACGTTTGTTCCCAGATATTTTAAACTTGGTCAGATAAAGAAGAACACCTACGTGTCTGTGGAGTTTCTGCAGAGATGTCACTGGTGTAAGCTCCAATTCCATGTTTACTACGGGCGGCCAGACGAAAAGTGTATGTGGTGAAGGGCTTCAACTCCTTCAGCAGGTATGTGGTTGTTGGTTCAAAGCTGATTCGTTTCTGTGAAGACAATTTGGTCTTCTGTCATTTAATTTCTTCTTTACCTACTTAGGAAACACTCATTAACACATGGAACCTCTTTTACAATTAGATTCTGGCAAAGAGACCAGAATGGAAACAAGGGGTGCACCATTCAATCTGCCAGTCAAGGCTCAAAACAGTTAAACCTGTTGTGCAAGTTTTTCTTTCATGTGAAAAATTGAAAGACTGAAACAACCTTTTTTTTTTCTTTGATTAGTTAATTTAGTAGTTAGGACAGGAATGCTCTAAAATTTCATGCAGCCTAGACAAGTTTTATTATTTTATGGCATTCAATGATTTTCAATAAAATAAGATTGGAACATTGAAGGTGTATTGAGGCCTTATAACACCTGACAACTAAGAACAAAATTGGAATCAGCAGGTCAGGCTTTCTAAAGATTGGCAGTTTTTTTTTTTACAGGCCAAAAACTGCAATTGGAAGAAGGATTCAAATATACAATTCAGCTTAGACATAAACATTTTTAACAGAACCAAGGAATTGGTTTAAAGTATAAAAAACTTTAAAATTAATTAATATTTTATTGCAGAAGTATAATCTGGTATTATATCTGAGCACATTTCTTTTGTGGTGGAAATAATCCAACGTTGACAAATAAAGATGTTTTTAATTGTTGGCAAAATTATTTGCGTCACAAACAATTAATTTAAATTGAATATAAATGAAGCATTTTCTTTCCTATACTTTGGTATTTTAAGTTAAGAGCATTGACAAACTTTTATCTAGTGAGTCATGACTTTCCATTTTTGCTGGAGAGTAAATATGATGCAACAGAGAAATTCATTTCTTTCAGGGAAGACAAGAGAACATGGTGTACAAGTAAAGCAGTTGTGTGTTGATCTGGAAATTAGACAAAATGGCTAAAAGAAAATAGCTACTTTCCTAAACTTACTAAAATCTTTTTCAAGAGCAACTACTCGCAAATCAGTTTAAGGAGTTTAAAAATTCCCAAAGCTTAACCTTGGAAAACAGCAGGTAGCGGTGAGGTCTTGGGGTCATCCAGATACTGACTTTAGGGACAGTCAGATAAGACCAGGACTGAGCTTTCACAGGGATACATATGTACTTTATTTATATGATGGAGCGTTGAAATACAAAAATCCATTTTCCCTCATTCCTCTTTTTATTGCTTAATATTGTAATGATAATTCAAAGGAAAATTAAATAACTACTGCAAGCCACAATCTCCAAATGTCAAACTCATAAAAATAAAAACGCTTGAGGAGAAAAAGTTGCCAATTATGCCCTGTTAATTACTCACAGCAGTGTTAAACTAACAGCCGTACTGTAAGTAATTAAGGAGTGTAACAAGCAACTCTTAAAAACATTATTGAAACAACTGCAGCCTTGTTGTTGTTATGCAAAATCCGGATGGATTCAGAATATTTCTTACGTGCAAGTAGACTCGAAATGCAAACTGTTAACATTGTAAGCAATTACCTCATCTTTGTCGTCCTTCTTTCTGTAAGTGAGTTCGTATCCGGTCACTTGGTTTTCCAGTCCCGTCTGGGCCGGAGCGTTCCATGAAAGCAAAATGCTCGTTTCTGATTTGGCTTCTCCTTTAAAGTCAGTCGGCTGGGAGGGAACTGGGAAAAAAGAGATGAGTTCATTACAAGCCACATTATACAAAATTCATTGGGATGTCGGTCACACTTGTGGCCACAACAGTGAAATGGTTTCGAACGGATATCAGTCTCATAGATACCATTATGCCATCCTCAAATATACAATATTAAGAATATTGTTATATTACTTAATACAATATATGGAATATACATGGTTTCTAATAGTCTTTTAACATTACTGTATTATTCTGAACTAATTTAGAACACATTGAATAAAAACTCTCGAGCTCCTTTCCATAAACACTTCAAGGTGGGATTAATACCCTCTTATACAGTCTGTGTTAAAGGACTGAGGTGGTTAGGAGAGTTGAATTAAACTCACTCCTGGTCAGCCCCTTCCTAACTCACCAAAGGATGCAGTCACAGCTCTATCATCTGAATTGTGGGAAGTGTGTTATGTAGCTATGAAAGTCGTTTGTGGGTCCACTTGCTGGGGATCACCGCACTCAGGAAACGGCTACTTTCGTTAAGAAAGGCTGTTTTGTTTTTTAAATGTGTTTGCATGATGTTCTTATATCAACCACAAGCATATCCGATCATTTTTGAGTTGGCGAGTGGTTTCTGTCATCTTTGTGAATCTCTGGTTCTGTACCACTACCAGTCTGCTCTGCTTCTGCTTGCTGCTCCAATATTGTAAGAGCTGTGTAACAATATCTTGAACATCAGTTTTTTTGTTTGTTTTTTTTTATGTTGGTAGAGTATTTTTACGAAACCCTTTCAAGAAACCCTAATTTACATCCTATCAGTTCAGTTGACACATTCAATGATCTCAAATCAAACCAGAATAACTCTAAACTCCGTCTTGCTGGTAAATACTGTGTAATGGAGTTTCTGATCCACCTTTCCATTCAGCATGCTTCCATACTTCATCATTTGTCAAAGCAAGTACAAACTGATTCATCGCTGGTACCAAACCCACCTCCAGTCTTGGCGATAATTTGCAGCTCAGGAGAAAGGGGTCCGTCGCCCACAGAGGTGAAGGCCAACACTTTGATGTAGTAGGTCTTATTCGGAATGAGGCCCTGGATGGTGACGAAGTTCGACCCCCGAACTATCTGCTTCTCCCAGAGGTTAACGTGCTGGCTGTAATCCATGGTGTAGTACACCCTGTAGCCCATGATTTGCCCGTTGGGCTCCTCTGGCTCATCCCATTGGATGACCGCCGTAGTCGCGCTCATCATGTGACCTCGAACCTGCCTCGGCGCGGTGCTCGGCGCCTGCTCTGCTGTTTTGGCCTCGATGCTCTCGCTGGGAGGCCCTCGTCCAATGTTGTTCACAGCCACCACCCTGAACTCGTAGTCGGAGTAGGGGCTAAGGCCGCCCACGCTGTACCGGGTGGTGGCAACACCATCTATCTCCTTGTACAGGTCATCAGAGTACTTGGATTTGTGTTGGATGATGTAGTAGGACACTGGCTCGGGGTTGCCAGAGTCCCAAGTCAGCGTGATGCTGGTGGCCGTGCGCTCAGTCACCACTGGAGTGCCAGGAGCCTTTGGTAGTGCTGCAGTGACAATTATTTTATAAATATGAATAAAAATACAAATATATGAGAAATATCAGAAAACCTTATCTATGATTTATTTCTGAAGCCACGGATTCTTGCATTGTCTGCTTTCAGCATTTTACAGAGCTGTTGTTTATGTTGTTAATCTTTAGATTTCTCTTTACCACTTTAATAATTAAACAGGTAAATTTATTGCTTTAATTCTCCACACCGTGGCACACAGCAAAGGATATCAGAGCAATAGATCGTGTTTATATGCCATCTGAAGCAGACTACTGGGGAAAGCCTTTGCCACGCTGGTATATTGTGACTAATATCTTCATGTTTTGTCTTAGAAAAAACAAAGCTGTGAGCGTGTTTGCAGGCTGGAGTCTGTCCCTCGTGTGCATGTGAATGTGGCAGCGCTATCTGGGTTGTCATTCTGGAATATTACAAGGGACAAATGATTACTATTTCTGCACCAAAAAGTAGACACTACTTTGTACCCCTCCTTTTAGACATAGGAAGCTCGTTTCTTTGTAGTTCTCTGTCTGACAGATAAGCACTTTGCTATAATCTTAAGCTTGAATCATATATTCCACGTCTGGTGCCAGAGTTTTACGAAAAGCTTTGAAATTGGCTTGTTTTGACAGAGAGAGGTGGGAACGTTTCTGACAATAGTCTCTACTTTGAATGTTTTCTGAATAACAAACAACATCCAAATCACAAGACAAAACTGTTCAATCTTAGTATGAAGACGATCAACATTCTGAACATTCTGAAAAGTGATTCACTTCTATCATCTCTTTCATTAGCGTAATTCCAGAAATGGCAACTCAGAAAGTCCGAAGAACATCGTGATTGACGCGTATATATTTAACTACTTTTGCATGATTTATTTTACTCCAACCACTCAATCTTATCATATTTAGAACATGGTCATTTAAAAAAAAAAAGATATCTGAAGAAAAGGGAGGCTTTCAAATAAGTCAAACACATTATGCTATCTGAAGACTAATTATTGTTAACACTGTTCAAACGTTCAAGAGGGCACTACACACTGTCCTATTACTAATTGATTAAGCTTTTCCAAATCACTTAATAGTTCTTTTTGTTTTATAAAGTTGGTTTTCTAAAAAGGTATTATGTCTGTTCTACTAGATTTTTAGATATTACTTTTTTTTTTCTCCAAATCATATCCTAAAGACATTTTCTGCTTTACTGCTCAGCTGGAATCCTATACTCATTTTTTTTGCAGATAAATTCTTCCTGCTAACACAACTTTAACCATCAATCAGCAATTTATAAATGAAGCCATCAGTGCGTTTGCTCTCTTTGTTAGCATCTTCAGGATCTGAACTACATGCCTCAGAGAAAAGTGAATCTTACCAATTGATATATTATTGACATTAAACATCTTCAGTACGCAGATTTAACTTTGCTTCTGGACAATGTGACACAGCAGTTAGAACAATTATAGCATGTTATTTAATTTTAAATAACATCAGTAAAATCATACCCATCTTAATCATGTTTACCTTTCACTGTTATCTGGGCCATAGCTTCTATCACCCCGAGTGTTGACATGGCCACACAAGTGTAGTTGGCCGACTGTCGCACATCTGTGAGCTCCAAGACGTTGCGTCCAATGGGCATGTCGTCCTCCGGGGTGAGATCCTCAGTGCCCAGCATCCACTTGACGTACGGCATGGGGGAGCCCACAGCCACACACGTGATATTCACGCTGCCACCAGGCATGATCTCATTGTCTGTCGGTGGGATGGAGAATCGGGGTGGGACTCGCCGTACTGTAAAGGAATTACCAGGTTTAGAACAACCAATCAAGAAAAAAAAAATGCATATACATCAAATCAAATCCTTCTAAGTGGTTTCCAAAGGGTTTGATTGTTCGGTGATTGCGCTTTTATCTGCAGAATTTGAATAAAAACTGTTTTATATCATCTGTACAGACACATTTTGATCAAATTTGATCTAAGCTGTAAAGGTAATGGTGAATGGGTGAACACCAATATGAGTACTATGCACAAAATACAGCATTGGATTTGTACATAAATACTGTTTCCAGGCAATTATATGCAAATAAACAACTTTTAGACACAAACTGATTCTTACATACCACAGGCATATACATTACTAATATCAGAACAACATATAGTATAGCCAGAAGCCAACATCTTTTGTGCGGATTCTTCTAAGGTTCAGTGCAAACAAAACACAGGACTGTCAGATGTTATGCATTTCCCCTTTAGAACTCAACCAGCTCACAAAAGATAAAAAATAAGTAAAAGAAAACACAAGACAATTCTGCTATGTGGCTATTTTTGTTTTTTTTTTTGCTCTCATCATAGGAGCAAAAAATGTTTGAAAGTAGGCCTAGAAGATATCAGAAACACTTTTATGTCTAAACCTTTAATAGGAAGGTTTTAATGAACCTTGAAAATGTGTGCCTGAGAATGAGTGAACATAAAGTGCACCAACTGTTGGTGAATTAAAAATGTAGTTTAAAAAAATTAAAAGGTTATTTGCAATAATGTGTTAGCAAACATTAGAAGTGCCAACTTGACTCATTTTAAACCCAAATTAGTTTGCCAGAGAGGAAAAACTGAAGGCCAAGTCTAAGAGGGGAAGAGACCTACGCACACTTCTACCGTCTTAAAACAAATACATCAAAAACGTCATAGCATGTGTACTCTACTTCATGAACTGTAAAACCAAACTTATGTTTGCAATGGATTGTCATTCATAGGGAATTCAAGGATTTATTTTTTTATTTTTCATTTTTTACAGAGGAAATGGAAATTGGAGGTGGCACATCACCAATGACTTTCCTGTAAAACATGGAACATAAAAAGTGTTTCCAGTCAGAGTAATAGTCACATAAAGAGCAAAAATATTAAAGCAGTTTATGTGAAGGCTATTTTGTTCAAATTTACACTGCACTTCTTTTTTCTAATCACCCAATCCAATGTAATTATAGCTTTAAGCTTTATGAAATAGCATTTATCCAAACCACTACGAGATTTATGAGGCAGGAGCCGTTTTAAAAGCTCGGAAGTCTTCTATGGTCTTGGCCCCTTTTCAGACAGGCCATTGGTTTTAGCCTCCAGAACAAACTATAATCTAGATTTCTACTAAATGTAGATGCCAAGACTGTTACATACTGCAGGTGACATATCCGTTAAAGATTTAACCCTACTAATTTTGATGGGACATAAAGGTCTACAACGGAAGAGTTTTAGAAAAAACGTGTCAGAAAAAACATCAAACACTAAAGGCAAACAGTGGATGCCTGTCTATTTGTGATTGAGGATTTGTTGATCTACCTTTTGCAGATTTGGAAAATATACTTATTCATAGAATTTTAAATAGACTGGAAGCTGAAACAGTGACGCACATTTCTACTTGACAGACTATTGGCTGGCTTTAACAAAGCAGCCAATCTAGGAACAGCATTTATTTTCCTTGGTGTTGATTGGTTGTAAGCCCAAAAGCAGAGATAAAAACAACCATAGATGTTAGATTCTGTAGTAGTGCTAATAATGCATTTTAATGTATATTTGGTGACGGACATATTAAAATAGACATAAGAATTTTTTGTGGGAATCTCAAATATTTGCAGATTTGACTCATTAGTGCGAGGTTGCAAACTCAATGAACACCAGGATTTTCTCTGTATGTTAAAGTTCAGCTGACCTTGGCAGCTTTCAGGCTGTAATAAAACCATATTTTTCTTTAATTTAAGTCCAATGTGCTAAAATTCCAAGCTATATAGACTCCAATATGGGTTTATGAATGTATAACATCTGACTACAACAGTGGATGCACATAATAAACAATACATCAAAGAAGAAAGATTAACAACTTTTAGCTGGGCAAAACTGTACATCATGGACACAAAGTTGACTTCAAGGAATTTTGGAGGTGAAAGAAATCTCATCATGCAAATAGGAATATGGGGTTGTTGGAGACAAAATGAAAGAGGATGGTCAACATGTTGTCTTAGAAGTCTAAATGGTCATAAGAAATTTCTTTTGAAAATAGACTATTTGTGCTGCTTCTGAGCATCCTCACTTTGTTAGGATTACCAAATAAAGTGGATAATGGAATACAGAAGCAAACAAAACAGACAAGCTTCAAGGATGGGTTCATATGTACTGAGCTCAGTGTTACTGCTCATGGCACTCAAGGTGGACCACGAATGTCTTTAAAATAAAGAAAACAAATAAATATTTTCACATAACCCATAAGATCCTCTAGTTTCTGTGTCTCTAACCTGAGGATGTGTTAGCTTTACTCAGCTATCGGGTCGTCATGTGCTTCCTGCTGCCAATTCCCGAAGCCCGCTCTGAAGAGAGCGAGGTGGCTCTCCGGAGAGGAAATCGAAGGGAACTGGCTGCATTATTAAATACAACGTTTCTCTCGCTCAATATTTAATTAATATCCAATTGGATTGCGCTCCCCACAGGCATAATATTATCCTGCTCATTTGAATATCATTACATTTGTCAAGACTTGTGAATAAGAGTGAATGTATCATTCTTTCATGACTTCTCCAGCAGTAACATCCTCAGCTCATAATCGCTGCGGATGGAATTGTTTTTACAGCTTGATGCTCGACTTTAGTGTAAATTCTTGAATATATGTCTATGTAAGGGAAACAGTTGTAACGATGTTTGAATGTCCGCATTCAGAGTAAGGCCCATTGTTCCTCAAGCCAGATTTTCTGTAAGCTAGGAGTAAACCCAAGCAGGAACACTGTCATGGTAATGGGCTGGTAGGGTCAGACATTAGCAAGTGAGCATGCAAACAGACAGTCAAGCAGATGCAAAAATCAACCTCCCACTGTTCCGCCTCCAGGATACCAACATGTGCCACCTGTTGGACGGTCATGCATTCTGACAAAGAGCAAGGGACAGTCTCTACAGGAACAAGAACACTGAATGCGTGACAAAGAAAAACAATATGCTGAGGCAAAAGCAAAACCAATGGAAGAATGTTTGCTTCAATGTCTGGAAGATGTGATTTCCTTTTTGGTGAGGAAAATAAAGAAAACCGATTGCCATAAAAAGTAACTTGTTGAAGAAGTAAAAAACACACCAACCTTCTCGTAGCTCTGAAGGATGTAGGGATTTTGGATGCAGAACAAAATGAAATAAGGGGAGGAGAAAAAACAAGGGAAACACAGAGAGTAAGAAGGCCGTGTTTCAGGTGCTCAAACGCTGAGGAAAACATTTCGGAGGGCCTTAAGTCCTGTAAAGGGAAGGAAGCCCTGTGAATCTCCCCAACACCAACAGCGACACCATGTCGGAGCTAAACCGTTTGAAGTAGCATTTACTCACTTATAAACTGTGTTGTACCAAAAGCCAGTGGTCTCAAGCTCCAGGTCTTGAGGACTGGTGTCCAATACACTTGAATTGTGTTACTCAATTGTCTCATTTTGTCATTTTGTCTCTGGAGTCCCAACAACAATATGTTTTTTTGATTCTAGTGTGTTGAAGTAAAGACTTGTCAAAGTGTCTCAGCATACCAGCCTGTGAGGACTGAAGTTTGAGACCCTAACCTATTTGATTAACTTCCCAAAAAACTTAAAAACCTTTTCATTTGCTTTCTCACTGTCATAAGACTTCCATGGCTGTACAACAGTTGGTCAGTGGTCATCACAGACTATCAGCATTCTCTCTCCTACAGGTCCACATGTGTTTTTACTGACATTTAACAGGGGATTCCACATCAAACTAATGCAAGAATAGAAATGATAATGGGAAACAAAAGGCGGAAGAACTGTCGGCTCGTCTTTTACCAACAGTGAGAAGAGTTTGGATTTCAGCAGTGCAGCCTGGCAGTAGGGACAAGTGGAGAGCCACTAAACTTATAATGGTCTGGCAAGAAATACCCTGGATGTCATCATTTTACCAGGAAAAACAAGATAGTTAAGTAATGTCACTGGGTTCAAAGAACAGGCTTAGGTTTCAGTAGGTAACAATCTCAAACCTGAGGAGTAAAAGTTTCACATTTTTATCTATTTTAGTTTTTATTGTCAAATTTGGAAAATCAGTTCAGTTTTGTTCCTCGTCCTTTCCATCAAGTTTGGGCAAAAAAATAAAAATAAAATAAAAATTAAGTATTTATCAGGCAGATGTATCTCTGTATACATTTCAGTTTTCCAAAAATGTTTTTAAAGTATTTATTCTGAATTTGCGTATTTTTGCATTCACATTTAATATTTACAATACCAACTCTTTCATTCCAATATCTTTTTTCTTTTTGTTATTGTTTTATTTTTAATTACTTTTTATGTTTTTGGGGTTTTTTGGACTGGTATTTCTCTTGGCTGCTGCAACAAAGCAAGCTTCAAACACAGATGGACAAATAGAGGGATATTTAATTGGATTCTGGAGTATCCCTCAGGGTACGAGGTGACATTTGTAGTGGATAATGCAACCTTTCTCAATTATTTTTATTTCTGCTAAAGTGATCATCAAGAAAGTATATTAACTTTAAACAGACACAAATGGTTTCTGTTTTACATATTGGTGTGTCACTGCACCATCCGTTGTGCTCCAGAAAAGAGATGGAGAGAAACAAAGTTAGTTAACTTTGTATGTACAAAGTGACATTTTGATGCAACTTTCACAGATTAAGAACTTAAAAGAAAACAGACATCAACAACTATATATTTTGTTGTTGCAACTGATATAAAAAATATGACTTTGCCTCAGAAGTAAGCTTTATTTTTCTAATTGTCTTTCTTACAGATCCCAAAACATTCCTCAGGTCAGTAGGAATTGATACATGATCAATAGTAAACATTTCATAGTGTGTACGAAAAGACCAAAAGTCTTTTCTTACAGGAAGGGAATAAATGTAACATTATTGTCCCCTGAGACATCTAAAGCTAAGAAGTAAGGCCTCCTATCACCTCACTATAAGTGAGATGATAGGAGGCCCAATAAAAGGAGGTTTAAAAATTGTAAATGGCCACAGCGTCTGAAGTGAGAAAGCAAACATGACTTTGAACTGGGTTAAAAGGTGAAGAGAATCATCACCCAAAAGCTCCTTAAAGGAAAAAAAAACACATTCTTCTGCTAGCTATTTTGAAATATATTTGATAATATTTTAAATCAACTGTGCTCAACTAATGTGAGGTAAAATGAAGGATTACTAAGTCCTGTTTAAGTAGAGTGAATCATAAGTTAAGGGGGAAAAAAACCTAACAACTCTGTTCAGGCTGCTGCATGAACAGTACTGTACTTAAAAATACTTGTAGAGTAAAATTAACTGCAGCTTCTTGATTCTTTTTAGTTGCATCCTCAGTAATGGGATTACAGGTGCCTTAGTGTTTATCAGTAGGAAGGAGGAAAGAAAAGGATCTTTTCACAGCTGGAGCAGATGAAGGAGGTCGGTTCACTCCCTCCACCAACTCCAGCAGTCAGCTTTTTAAAAGCAATTAGTAAATAAATGCTGCAAGCAGTCTCGTCACTGGTGTTAGGCTCGGGATAATCAACGGAAACGGACCGGAAACACATAACAGAGCAGATACCGTAGGTTCAAATTAGTGCAGGTAAGGCAAGTGCAAGGAACAGAAAATAAACTGTAATAGAGGATACTTACAGTGACCTCATAGCACTCGGACCCTTGCAGACAATGTGGCGATTTAATCGCTCCTTATCAGCTTTTAAAGAATGTGTGACACTAATGTTTGGCGAAAACAAACAAGGAGGCCGTTTCCTACCTCTGACGTAAAGATTAGCTGGGGCAGAATAGCGAGTCCCATCGTTGTTCGTTGCCACACATTCGTACTTTCCCTGGTCCGGTTCCTCGCTGTGCTCTATCTGCAGGGCTCCTAGTTGGAATAACAAACCAGGGTAACAAAAGGCATGTGGTCAACTTGGTTCATAAACAAAATTATTTATGTTCTGCATTCTCCTGTCATGTCGGAGGTTAGCTTGCTTCAGCGACATTAAGTTTTAGACATGATCTGCTAATCAAGTAAAATGGGGACTTCTATGCATGTGGACAGCTGCAAATTACAATCATGCAAAACATTGTAATAAAATTGTTTATTTCTATTATCAGAGTTAAAGTAGTAAACCAACAAAAGAGTAAAAAATAAATAAATAAAAACGGAAAAGAAAGTAACTCACAAAAGCAAGGTATACCCTATCACATTTAAAAGCTAAAATTTATCATTTTGATCTTTTTCTAAGTAAAAAAAAAATGGTATATTGTGTAAAAAAAAACACGCTCATCTCAGTGCCAATTAGGCATGGGTTGGTTTCTGGTGTCAAGGTTTTGTTTTTGTTTTTTGTGGTTTTTTAAGGTTACAGCTGTTGCTGCACACTGGGAGTCAGCTGGCTAAAAGAAGACTACAATACATTCCTCTTTCATCCAAACCATTCATGTCTTAGCCTTATGCAACTTTAAACCTCATTCAGCGGTATGCTTTGGGTCAAATGTTCTTTGGAATGCCCATTTGTACCCAACCTTTCATTTCCTGACTGATATATTGAGATGTTGCTTCAATATTTTTGACAAAATGTGATTTTCTTATAATGTCATATACTTTGTGAGGATCATTAGTCCCTCTTGGTGTAAAATCACACCACAACATGAAGCTGCTGCCAGCATACTTCTGTAGAGATAAGAGCAGAGAAGCTGGCCTATGTCTGAAAACAGTAGACATGGCCCCAGAGGACACTAGTGTCAGGGCCAAGTAAAGACGGAGGATCAATGTCATGAATTCTGTTCAACTGGGAATGACAAGAGAAAAGAACAAGTTGCAAAAGTCTGACTTACATTGCTGGCATTTAGCAAATTGAAATAATTTTGGCACATCTATCTGGCCTTGGACACTGAAAAATTTTATGATTTAAAGCCACACAGTGATACAGATGGTTGTGTGTTGTTATCCAGTGAATGTAAATATCTGATTTCGACTGTATGCAAAACATAATAAAAACAGTTTTAAAACTACATTTGGTATGCTAAAACTGACCAATTTGTTGGCTAATATTGGCTTATTCTGCTTTTGTTAAGTGTTGTCAATATATTACGGTAATTGTGTATATTTTCTTAAATCTGAATATGAAATTCTTATTACTGCAATAATAGGAATAACTTCTGCATTTTTTGCTTTGTGTTTACATCTAAATACCTTGATAACAAGAAACCTTGGTATTTAACTCAAGGTTACCTTGAGAGCCTCATACCGACCCATGCCTAGCGCCAAAGACAACAAAAATACAAACTGCCGATTTTTACTTTGAATAGGAGGGGAAACCCATCAATATACAACATGTTACTGGACTGGTCAGTATGGGGATGAGTGATACTGCTTCAGGGAAACATGGATCGAACAAAAGAGGTTTACAGTATAAGAAAGCAGCGCAACAAGGGAGGACAATTTAAAAAAACAAAACAAAAAGAAAATTTAGGTATGATTTTTTTAGCATATTCAATCACAGATCAGTTGTAATATTCAGCCTATGGGATGATTTGGACTTCACCTGGGTGAAGTATCTTTGGAAAAAGTAGAAAAAAGAAAAAAAAAATGGCAGCATGTGCAAAAATTTTGTGCTGCTCAGATTAGCTGGAAAAAAATGTTTATTGAATCATTAATTCAGTCAGAACCAACATATAACCCTCTAGCAAAAGGTTTGACATGCAAATCTTAGCAAGAAATGTATGTCGACACAACTTACAACCTTCTGACAACCCTTAGCTGAAAAATAAAATGCAATTGTATTAGAAGACAAAATTCAAAATGCGGCCAGAGCCAACAAGAAAGTACAACCATCCACTGCTTTAGCCACAAAAAGACACCCATAAAAATCCACCAATGGGATCAGCAGTGTGGTGTCACATGACTCAAAGAAAAATGGCTTTATGCATCAACAACTCTCCCGCTCCATCTCACACGGCAAAAATGAGCCAATCAGGTCCTCGTCACACTCTACAGTTTGCCTTTTCCCCAAACCCTGAAGAAAAAAAATAAAAAAGTCAAAAAAGATAAAAAAAAACAAAAAAACAAGAAAAGTAAGAAAAATAGGTGAAAGAGGAAGGTGGGAAAAAAGCACCGTAGAAACTTTATCAAAAAAGTGGTTGTTTGGGCTTTTTTGTAGAGGTACAGGAGAGGAAAGCAAACAGAAGAAATGGGAAAAAAAATAGTTTGCAAAGATAGAAAGAAGTCTTTGGGAGAGGTGGTGTTAGGTCTTCCACAGCATCTGCGCATGTCGGGCTTTTTGTGCTGAACAAGAAACAGCTAAGGGGGGAAAATGCTTGGTTGTTTTAGTTGGACAAAAAAGAGGGACACATGATTGGCTATGGCCAAAAAGGAAAAAAAAAACAACAAAAACCCAAAAATGAGCATTAAAATATAGTTTTGAAAAAAAAAAAAAAAAAAAAAAACAGAATTGTCATTGTATATGCTTATTAGAGCCAGGGCAAGCATATCACAACTGAGCTAAAAGAACAAGAAAGAAACAAGAACACAAAGGAGTAAATAAGGCATAGACACAATGATGAAATACAATTTTAGTCAACGAAAACCAGGACAAATAAGGAGGATGGATCCATATGAATGAAATGGCATTTGGTCTTTGTAAACAGGACAAAAATGGGTGCGTACGGATGGCTTGACAGCAAGAATGAATTTGTATTATTTTCATTCTTTGAACGTCAGTTCAGCACTCTTACCTCTTATTGGCGTACCACCTGGGTGGATAATATGAATGCAAATAAGATTGGAAAGAAGAAGCATTAGTACGAGTAGATAGAGGTTGGGGGCTTTGGAAGAAGAATCAAATTAGACTCAACAGGGTACGTAAATAAAGGTACTACAGGAAAGAGAGAGGAGAGAAAAGAAGAGAGAACTTTTCTTTTTGTACTCTACTGGCAGAGAAAAGACAAGATTCATCATAGAAAAATCATAAAGTCAGAAGATCTTGTGAAACACGTGGGGGAAGTGGTGCCATTTTATTTTATTTTTTCAAAGTGGCTTCTGAAGACCATCTACTGAGGGGGGAAAGACTTTTCAAGACTTTGTGCATGAGACTGAAAGCGGGCAGACCTCAGGGTTTGAGCTAGAGGCAAAGCTGGCCGCCTCCCTAAAAGCTCTTGGGGACATTTTCCTACTTCAGGTGCTGGTGTTAAAACATTAAAGTAGTGGATAAGTGAGTGAGGAACAAACATGTGAGAATTGATTATTATTCAGGTCAGTATGCGACAATACTTACAGTACTATGAAAAAATAATTACCCTCTTTCAGATTTCTTCGGTTTTTTACTTAATTTTGTCACATTAAAATGTTTCAGATCTCAAACAAATTTTAATATCTGACAATTACTGCTGAGTAAATACAACAAGTAGCTTTGAAGTAATTATTTAATTTCTCTGGGAATCTGACTGTATGAAATTTATTTGCAGTGGAATAAAAGTACGCTGTTTTAATTCAGTCTTCTAGAACATTTTCAAGTACAAAAAACTTCTCAATGCACTCTGAGTGATTTTGGTTAGACAAAATCTACCCAAAATAATAACTTTCTTTTTTCCCAGGTGGATAACAGTTCTCACTGTTTTTCGATTAAAAACCAATAAAATCTATTCAGCAACTTCTACTACCTCAAGTTACCAGAGATGCTCTATTTAGGTTATTTACAGATTCTACAAATTGTCATAGTCAAGAAAAAGCAGAATCGAAAGGGAAAGTTCTTGATTTATTTGGTTGAAAAAGAAGCCAAGACCAGTTCTTAAGAGACTGAGACCAACATTAAGACTAAGACGAACCCTCCAAAGCCAACACAGTATGTTTAGAGTTCAAATAGTATTTCAGGACACTGTTTCTTTGGGGAGGAAGGCACCACAAAATGCAAGAATTAATGGGACAATAGTTTCTCAACCAACATTTCTTGCTGGTATCAAGCAAATAATTGCCATAATTAACCAACATTTAAGTTATTACATGCAGCCACACATTGATACATAGGCTATGAACTGAATTCATCAGCTTGCCTTGCACAATAGTTGTATAGAAAGTTATAAAGACTTATCATATCTGTTTCTTCAGAGACCAAAGACAAGGGGAAAAAAGCAGGAGATCAGTTTTGAACCCACCATGCCTGGTTCCTACCTTCATCTACAGTCTGAATAGTAGCCAAAAGAATGAGATCATAGATACAAGCAGCTGAAATGAATTTTAAGGGCACTTATTTAAAGATCAGAGGTTCTCTTGGAAGGGCCCAAGTGGCTGTTTGTCCCACGACCCAACCCCAGAAAGAGCTGATATTGTCTGATATTACACATTGTGTGAAGATCTGAAACATTTAAAAGCAACCAAAAGAAAAAAAAAAGAAAAAAATCAAGAACAGAAGAGATTTGTAAGGGGCAAATACTCTCTCACAACACAGTAGCCTGAAGCTTGATGGTTAAAATCTCAAGATAAGGTGGTATCACAGCTGGCAGTGGTATTAATAGCAGTAAGACAGTTACACATTGTGAGGGTAAGGGGCGTGTGCGTGTATGTGTTTGTGTGTGTTTTCTAACCCTGACACTCTAAGCTATCTGTTAGTAAAATGCATGCCATGCATTTTAATAGTTGTTGGAACATGGAAATTAGTGGGGGTGATGTGTGCTTTGGAGCTAAGCACTTACCAAAGGATTCTGTAGAATTTAAAAATATAGAGAGAAGAAAGACAGCATAAGAATTATGATTATACTCCTTAAGTACGTTTAGTTAACAAGGTTTGGTTAATGCTTTAGCAAACTGCACGTGAATAAAAGTCGCACGTTAGAAGTTAAGGTTAATCTGACACAGTTTTACTGAAACAAAAAATAAAATAAAAAAACAAGTCAGGTTAACACGATGAGTTAACAAAAGGAAAGCTGTGAAATCTGTGAAGACAGGTGGTCAAACAGACAAGACGTCCAATTTAAGAAATTATGCTCTCGGGTTATCAGCTGGACAGAACTGGTTAAAGGTTAGAATAATTTTTCTATTGATATATTTAATGAAAACAAAACTGGCATTTACACATTAAAGCAGGGACTACAGTGCCTTGCAAAAGTATTCACTCCACTTCAGCTTCCTCACATTTAGTCTTGTTACAAGCAGTACCAACTGGCATTTTAAAGTGACAGACCAAGAGAAAGTAGCGCATAATGATGAAGAAGAATGAAATAATTAAATACTTTTTTTTAATTTTCACTAATAACATCCAAAAAGACGTGCTTCTTTACGTCTACAAATGTTATGAAGTATGTTTCTAAATGTTTTATTGTTTCTTTTATGAAAAATAAAAGATCTGCTCTATCATCCAGATAGACTGACTTTTAAAGGACAACTTTCAAATCTTGCCACAGATTTTCAACAGGATTTTGTTAGGACTTTGGTTAGGGCATTCAAAGAAATGAATATCATTTCCTCTAAACCACTTTATTGAAGCTCTGGCTATATGTTTAGAGTGATTATCTCATGAAATGGGTTAATGGTGAAGTCTTTTGCCTTGTCCATTATCCATTATTAACAGTTAAACCCTGGTATTTACAAGGTTAGAAACCATAGTCTTATGTAAATACTTGAAACTCCGACATAACCGTTATAAATGCCAATTAAAATTTTTCAAGCATCAAATATATCTTTAGATGCAACGATACCCACAGGGGACATAGCTCCAATGAAGAAGCCTACGTCTACAGTCTTCCTTGTCTTTACTTTTAGGTGCACATACCATCAGCACCTAAAAAAATAAAATGTGCTCCTGGATCGGCTGCTTTGCAAATCCCAGCCAGTCCCAAGCTGCATTTTTTTGAATACTTTAGATATGCCTTTTTAAAAAATAATCTGGGAATAAGTGGATTTTCCAAACATGTGGAATCACGTTCCACAGAAAAAATCTGCAAATACTAAATTGTAAATAAGTGGGGGATCCACCATTTGTACATTTACCTTCCTTTCTTTCTTTATGGCAATTTTATTTATTTCCCCTGAATAAAAAATGCTTCTACGCTAGGCTATGTTTGGTGGGAGAGGTGTGCTCAAGTTTGTTATTTTATGTTGGTCTATCAAATAAAATACAATCAAAATGGACACGTTTGCAGTTTTAAGGCGAAAAACATGAAATTAAACATTTTTGATTTTTTTCTTTTGCATGGCACTGTATAAAGTCAGAATGAAGGGAAAAAGGGAAAGCTTTATGAAGTTTTACGCACTACTGTGGCTGATTAGTTTCAAGAAATAAACTTATTCTCATTGAATCTGAAATGCTCTTAAAGCAAACATCTATTGCAGGACACATATGTTAGGATAATTAAATTGCTCCTCTGCATGTTTTCCTATTCTAAAAGCGTGTGCATTAATTTGTGGGCTCTGAATGTGGCCGAATGTTCACTGAAAGGTGTAAGTAATGGGCATAATGGTTCTAAGAAATACTGCACCAATGCAGTGGAGAGTAAAACCAAGATGAAAGAGCAAAAAATTGAAGAAAAAAAAAAGAAAAAAGAGGATAATTGTTTATTAAAAAGTCACAGCAGTGAGCAATGTGGGCAGAGGTTAGGACGAAAGCCAGCAAACACAGAAAGGAAACAATCCCAACAGCTCATGACAACACTGGAAGACAAAGGGAGACGCACATAAGACAGACAACAGGGATGTACAGCAAGTAGAGGACAGGAAATAGTCGAAACAATGCCATTACCTATAAAACGAAAAGCCAAATGAGAAGTTAAATCATGGGCAGGAAGAAGAGGGGATGAAAGAGCAGAGGATATAATGTGGGAGCAGTTCAGATAGAAAGTGAAAAAAAAGAAAAAAAGAAAAAAGAAAGGAGTCTCCCTGTTTGGTAATCGAGTTTTCAGCAGAGGAAACCTACCTGATCTGAGCTGCTTAATGCGCCCGTTGTTGTTGGTGGTGTTGACAGGGAGGAAGTCTTTGAACCAGGTGATGTCTGGGTCGGGGTTGCCGCTGGCGGCACAGAGCATGGTGGCGGTGCGCGTTCGCTCCACCACCTTTAACTGTGGGCCCATGTCTATGGTGGGGAAGCCAGCGGGGAGCTGGTCCTCTGCAAAACAAGTTGGAGACAGTTTGGCAAGATGTCAGAGGCAGTGAGATGGTGGTCTTAAAGAGACCATGACCTGGTGGAGTAGAAATTAGACCAGGCTGTAGAGACTGTAGAAAATTAGTCAATTTAAATACATAGAACAAAGGGTTTTCTTACACTGCTAATTCTCTGTGTAAAATTGTGTCATTTTCCTTATAAAATGGTGACAGGTGAATAAAACGATTTAATTAGCCGTGTTTTAAAAAGGGTTATCCAGTACATAGAGGCACCGATCTGACAGCGAGATGCTCTAGAAATTAGTCTTAAGGCTCTGGACCTGTTCTTGAATTCTTAATTAGTTCCCCACTGAAACATTAAAATACCCTCTGCTTCATGGCAGACAGAGCACAGATGCAGGAGGGAGACAACTCATCAAAGCCAGGGTCAAGAGAGGCGCACATGCTTCTTTCAGCCAGCTGACCAGCAGTGACCAGCAACAGATGTGGCTGATTACTCTATGCTCTGAACATCCGGAGAAAATTCTTATTAAAATGAACCCCAGGCTCTGGGAATGGTGTAAATTTTAAAGCACTTGGTATAACTTGATACCAATAACAGAACCCTCTATATTAATGCACAAAACAAACTTCTAGTATAAAACTTAGCATGTCAAACAGACAACCAAATCACACAGATTTGCATGTGAATTGCTGTGCGGTATAGGCTGCTGGTATTTATTTATGCAAGCTGTATCTGGGAATACTGTTTAAACAAGCTTTTTGCAGACATGCACAGGCCTAAATAAAGTAACTGATAAATTTTGCATTGCTTCTGGTGTCTCGATGGACCGATAATACTGTAGTTGGAAGGGATGACTTCAGACTTCCCTCAAGCTTATGATGGGCAACAGCTGCTAGTAAAAAGCTTTTTATGCATGCTTGTAAATTAAATCTGCCTTATTTGCGGGACGGCGCATCAATGGTCATTTAAAAATTTAACACATAAGTTATTTACATGCATTTAAAAGCAGCAGAAAATGTTAATCTTCATGGATGTTATGCGACTCAAGCAACCAGGGTGTTATTAAACCTATCAGCTAAGTGTGGGCAAAATGCAGGCATTTCCAAAATGTCAAACTCTTTTTGTAGCGGCGGCATGCTGAAGAAGAAGGGACCCTGACACAAATCCATTCAGGTGAGGTGGAGCTTTGATGTTCTTTGATGATGGCAGGTGGCTGCGCTGTGTTGTCTAAACTGTCTTGTTCCTGTCCGTGTCTCAATTTTCAGCCTGAACAGGGCCAGGGGAACGTCTCGCTGCGGGTTGAGATGTGAAATATGATAAACTCACAGGGTCCATTTGCTCCAAACATGTTTTTTTTTTTTTTTAACAAAGCCTGCAGCAGCTTTATTTGATGCCATTCATTTGATGAAGTATGTTTGGGTTGTAGCAAACAACAATCTCTGAAATGCTGCACGTTTTAATATTCTATGCGCCATAATATCCCAATTTGCAAAACTCCTGCCTCTCTGCAGTGACAGCCAAGAGTTAAACTCCCAAACAAGACCTGCTTATTCTGACTGCCAACAAGGCTTATGCACACCTTTAAGTCTTCCTTTACCCGCTGTGATGCGGCTAATTAATATCTTTCCTTGCTTTCGTAAACGACACTGTTTGTTTTTGAAAATCGGTCCTTCATTAAATTTTCATGAGGCGTCATCATGAAAATGAAACCCGCTTTGAGGTGCCATGTACCGCATGCAGCAAAACGACAAACGTGGCCGTCATCCAACACTGCCTTTGGCTGTCTGGCATGGAAAACCACTTCTGTGGATAAATCTTCTCAGAAATAAGACCGCATTGCAAACAAGTGACTTCATACTGAACTGCAAAACTTTCCCGACACAACTCTGTGCGTCCTTGCCTGAACTGGTGTGAAACTGAAACAGTGTTTCAGACATTTCAGAAAGTAAAACTCATGTTATATAGATTAATTGCCCAAGGTGGAAAATTTAAAGCCTTTACAAGAGTGATAAACTGCAAAAGGTCAAGAAGCTCGTACAAGTCTTTACAGAAAACTGTTCAGAGTGATGCAGTCAAACACATTTGTAGAAAGTTGAGTGGAAGGAAAAAGTGTGGTATGAAGAGGTCAACCAGAAATAAAGAGAACACCACCACTGACGGCATTGATAAGGAAAATCCATTCAGCCTGAGGTTGGAGTCAACACATCGAAAGCCACTCCGCACATCCTGAACTAGAGACGTTAGAAGCATCTTATAATTCACAGAACTTATAATTCGGTCATCTCTGAAAGTACTTCGTAGGTGTCATTAAAAAGTCAGGTTTTTTTTTACTTCTATTCATCCAAAGACAGATATTTAGCTAATCCAGTTCTCTGATACACTTGCTTCTCTCACCCACATAGAAAAAACAGAGAATATGGGTGATGTGTCTTACCCACCAGGGTAAGTATCATATATTTTTTTTTTGTTAATTTAAGTGTTTTTTTTTTAACAAAAAAATAATTTCTCACCAAGACAGTTTTGGTGGGACTGATGTGATCTTTTTTTGCAAACAAAATTGGATTTGGAAAATTTGAAAAATACAACCAATCACGTCAACTAACAGTTCCGGATTTAACGCTATATTGTAAATATTATTTTTTAGTTTTGAAGAAATGTGGACTGTATTTAACTATATCTAGTTCAAAATGGTCAGATTGAATCCAAACCAAATCATTTATAGGAATACAAAGGCCAACATAAAGCACAAAATACAGCAATAGTAAAACTATTCACTAAAAAATAGTAAAAGTATCTCCATCGTGCTTTGTTCAAGGCATCTTTTATGACAAGACCTAAAGCAAGAAATTGCTTTAAAAACTATGAAACAAGATCTCACAACTTTTTCAATGGTCAACTGAAGTAGTTAAAAATATGAAAATAATAATTCAAGAAGACTGTGCTGAGTATTTCACTTATTTTGTACTCTAAATGAGAATGATGTGGGTATAACAGTAAACAGAAAAGATGAGGTGTGGTTCAGCACAATCTTTAGTTATGCTCAAAATGTTCTTCCTTTGAGTTTCTATGTCTCTCCAATGTGAACATTACTGAAACTCCTGGGTGGGTATTCAAATTTTAGCATCTTTATGGGAAACTCTTCAGTCTGCCTGGAGAAAGAAAATGTTGGAGCTCTGCAGGTAGAGCAGGTAGAGCAGACGCTCCATAAACTGTGGCTAAAGTCCCGGGTTTGACGATTGGACCCGGGCCATTTACTTCATGCATGCCCCCATTCTCTCTTCACTCCCTTTCTTGTCTGAATATTACTCAATAAAAACCACTAGAGGCTCAAACAGTAAAATAAAATAAAGACAACAACAAAAAATCTAGAAAAGGAAAAAATAGTCAAGTCAGTCAGTGCAGAAAAGTGCTCAGACAAGTTTAGGGTTATGGTTGGCTGGAGTTGGTCCATCACAGATCTAACATCTGTCTTTTACTTATGTACCAACTCCTGCAGTTGACTTTTTCTGATCATGTTTATTGTTACTTAACTGTGTTAAAAAACTGTTTTTGCCATCAATTTGACCACAATGTCATGGAAGAACAGTTGTATCTCAATGGGACATTCTTGGCTAAATAAAGGTTTTATGATTATTACTATAACAGAGACACTCGAAAAACAGACAATCTTCAAACAGCCGTGCAATTCGGGCTAATTTAGCATCTCCAATGAATCTAACATGCATGATTTTGGCCTGTAGGAGAAAAGTGGAGTACCAAGAGATAGTTATTGCTGCCAACATATGAGAGGGCAGTCAGAACCACCATCCCCCGTTCTGGGGTTTCAGGTACTAAAGTTTAAATTAGGTATTTTAACTTACAGTTTAAAAAAGATTTCTGGTCACTAGGAGCTTGTTTTGAAATACTCAAAGGCTGGGTCAAGATATCAGTGTTGTTAACTTAAGGGACAAGTTTAGTCTCAGGAATAACTTAAGTCACAGTAAGAGAGTAACCATCAAAAAGTAATTTTATTTCAAAGTACTTTTTTTTTAAAGACTTTCAGTTGGTCAATGACTAAAAAGAATTGTAAAATGCCATATTGTTTTAGAAACTATAATGCTATAAGATACTGAAGAGGGAAAAAGGAATTAATTGGAGGTAGTTTCTGTCACTGCAGCCTGCTCAAGGTCAAAGACACAATTAGTGGATTTCTACAGCAAGTCCAAAGTATACCTGATCAAACACAATAGCCAAAAGCCAGGCTACAAGCATGGATGCTTGTTGAATACAGTAATTGGATGTGACAATCCATGCGAAACTAAATACAGCTGCTGTAAAAATCGCAATGCATTCAGAAACAAAGTGCTTGGGAGATCTTGATTTCGCTGTCCTTTAAAAATGTCTAACACTGTAGCATGTTTTGCTTCTGAACAAAAGTAACTAGAAAACAGTGAGTGACTTAAAGATTGTTTTGGCAATTTTTTTTTTTTTTTAGCAAAGATTCTGGATTTATATCCAACTTGTTTGATAACAAGATATGTTATCAAACCCAACTCATCCTACATGAAACTGGTCTGCAGATTCCTAGCAGGAAGCTAATATGACTCCAGGCATTGCATTTAAAATTAATGGACTGTTTCAACACTTTCTGGCCTTTTGAATGCATTGCCATTTAGCCCAGTAGTACATTTTACTGCTGCTTTGCAAGCTCTTATTCATTGAAAAAGGCCACAAAGTCGTAACATCAGCAGTTTGGTATCTGAAAACTTTTTTTTTTCTTGCAGATTGTGTGATTTAGATAAAATAAACAAGTGTTTTGATGTTCTCAAGCTGCTCCGATCCACATTTATTTCGCTGTGAAACGAATTACCACTGTGACAATAAATAAAGGGCAGGGAAATTGAATACATCTTTCTCCGTTATTAACAAGTCTCCTCAACAGTGCTGCGGCAGTATTGTCCTTAGAAAGCCGGAGATTTAAATTAAATCAGATTAATCGCAGTTTAATCACAGTTGCTGTG